TAATTATATCTCTATTATTAATATACATATAGTAATTAACATCTGCATTAAGTAATCTTTATTAATCTTTATTAATCTTTATTATAATATTAACATAACTTAAAGCAAAATTATTAATATTTTATTAACGTCGCTATCTCTTATTATCGTCATTATTATCTTTGCAAGGGAACTTGTTGCTACGTATATGTTTGCAACATGCACGATTGCAATCGTTGCACATTAGTCTTTTACGAAGCTATAAATTCATTGTAAGTATATCTATATTGCACGTATTTGCATGTGAAACTTGTGGCAATCTTTAATCTCCGACTTAAACAGAAGTATATTTAATGTTTTCAGATTTATCACGTGTATGGTATATGTGTATAAGAGAGACGTAATTTTTTAAGTTTTCTTTAAAAAATCACTTTACCATTATTTTCGGGAAAGAAGACATGGAATCGTTACGTTTATTTGTGTGCTAAATATATTGAAGGAATTAACAGAGAGATAATCTCTCAAAGATCTAATTGTCGAAATCTTTTATAGATTGTTCTATTTCTGTGGCATTACAGGTGACGTATTAGAAATATGTCGAGTACGATAACAAGGTACGTATGGTCGAGTGCAAGTTTTATCGCTGTATAACCTTGGCATAAATTAGGTTTAAGAGCTAACGCGAAGTAAAAAGGACCGGAAAAGCGTTAAGACACTGAATGCCGTCCCAACACGAGATTAACGGTGGCATTTCAGCCTCCCTTTGCAAAGGTCAATAACGCAAAACCGGCGATAAATCCTTCAAGATTCACGCTTACGTCTTGCTTATCAAAAGTTCAAACGGCGGTCTTTTGCATAATTCATTACGCATCTGTACTTCATTGGACAGCAGCGTGAACTATCTCATCGCGAATCATCCTGTTGAACGTCATTATATTGCGAAATTATAATGACAAGTACAATTTTAACAGACAAGTCTTTAGGCCTCGAAGGCGTTTCTGCAGATCTTTCGAAAGCTTCGCGAAGCTTGAAACTTCCAAACTTTCATATTTTCAACGTTACGGTTTATTAACCCTCAAATTTTATTAAAATTTTACCTCGAAACTTGCACAGTTTTTTAAATATTTGCTTTTAAATTTTGTAACGTTTTCAACCTACAACATCTTATATTGTGTTTAGAGCTTTCATTCGTATGTCTTTTAAATTATCACATATATTAATGTCACCATTTTCTCATTTGTAAGAAGAATTCATACAGTTATGAAAAGACAAGAGCAAACGTATTCTGTTCCGTGAAAGATTGATAGTCCTCGAGACGTTCACATATTTCCTAAGGCTATTGACCCAAAGGTCGGTTAATAGCCGCCAAATTGCTCTGCAAAGCAATGTATGTACATAATCTGGTAGTCGATAGCGATCCTCCGCGAATAGCAATTCATTCGTATGTAAAACATTCAAAATTCAAGCTGACTAGGTCATGTCGAACGCATCGTGGAGGCCGTCTGCATTGAAAAAATTACGTTGCATCTAAAAATGCAAACAATTTTCGAGATAAAAGTTCATTCTTCTTGTAAAAAAATGCGAATGCCTACACGGAGAGAATTTTCTTTTAAAATTTACCCCGAAGATTATGTAATCGCGGGACAACAGGGCATTTTGAAGACCTTTATAGGAGTTTTTTGAAATTTTACCATACGTTCTACCAGTAAAATGTATACTAAGTATAATTAACCAAGGTTGGGAAAATTACTTCATAAAAGTATCTAGTTACAGTTACAGTCCTTTCGTTAAAAATGTAACTAGTTACAGTTACTAGTTACCAATTCTGAAAAGTAACGCGTTACAGTTGCAGTTACTTTCACGCAAGGTCTAAAGCGATCTGTGGAGGTTTAAAAATATATAAAGTAACTATTAATGTAACTGTATTAAATTAGTTACTGGTTATCGAAAAAGTGTAACTAAGTAAGTTACAGTTACAGACGGAGAGAAAGTAACGAAATTAAGTTAGAGTTACCAAAATAAAGTAACTGTAACTGTAACTTCGTTACAAGTAACGAGGTACTTCTCAATCCTGTAATTAACTAGTAAAATCCCATGCTGTATGTCTAAAGGCCGGATTAGGAAGTAACTCGTTACTTGTAACGCAATTACAGTTACTTTTCTTTTGGTAATTCTAACTTAACTTTCATACTTTCTCTCAATCTGTAACATAACTCAGTTACATTAGTATGTAGTTACTTTATATATATTTTAAACCTCCACAGATCGCATTAGGCCTTGCAAGAAAGTAACTGCAAAGTAACGCTTCGTTACTTTTTCAGTAACTGTAACGTGTCACTTTTCAGAACTGGTAACTTGTAAATGTAACTAGTTACATTGTTAGCGAAAAAACTATAACTTTTATAAAGTAAAATGTCCAAAAGACACCTTCAAGACGTCTTTAAATCTTTTAAACATACACGAAAGGAAAATGCTGTTGAATTAAGCAAAATAAAGTTGCTTGAATTAAACGTTAACGTCACAGGCTGCCACATAAAACATAAATAATTCGCTTAATTCATTTTGCCATGGATTTTAATTTTAAGCATTGAACTAAATATCCAGATTATTAAGACAACATTCTGGCGTTTCTCATTTATTAATACTAATGTTGCTTCAACGATTTCAAATACACGGATCACGTTGATACATCATTCTTTTTTCCGTGTATCTGAGAGACAACTTAAAGACGCCTTAAAGATGTTTTTTAGACATACGCGTTGGTTGGGATGTATGGTAAAATTTCAAAAGAACTCTCATAAAATTCTTCCAAGTGCCATGTTGTCCCACGATCACATGATTTTCAGGGTAACTGTTCAGAAAACGTTCTCTCCGTGTAAAGACAACGCGCGCGTTATTTTTATAAGAAATATTATTGCAGGAATATCGAGAAGAAAGCAATTCTCGTTTCGCGCTTAATTAATTCTCGCGCCGCTTATATTGCGTATCGTAGCTCGAGACGCGCCATTAGTCGCGGACATACGAGCTTATCGGACGAATTGAATGGTATCCTGGACAAAAGGTTTTTGTCCCGGCGCATTTATCGAGCTGGCAATAACAGCGCGCGATAACGCCGGCCAGTAAGTTAATGAATATGCGTACGACTAGCATGAACCGTACAACGGTGGCATTAGCCGATTAACGAGCGGATTGTGCTGGTAGCGCACTTCCAAAGCGATTAAACTATCGAGGACGTTCAACGCCACGCGGATTAAAGTGTCAACCTAGCAGGAGGTCTCGCGGGCTCGTGAGACGAGTAAATTAATTATGCACTGAGAAAGACTCGATTGCGGACACGGCTCTTCGTTCTACAAGCCGTGAGGCTCAGCAGCGTGAATCGCCGTACGTTTCGCAACTTTCGCGACCATCCCCAAGCCCCCCCCCCGCCCCCCGGCCGGTCGCGGCTTAATTTCCAGGAATTCAAATTAGTATTTGTCATCGAGTGACTAACGGGCGAATTTTCCCGCGGCTATACACACCCCGCGATCACTCGATAGCCGGTGCGAGACGTATCGATCCTCGCTCGTTCACGCCGTGCCGGCGCGCGGCACGGCGAAACAATAGGGGGCACACGGTCGACGGGGGTTTTAATAATGCCTGGGGTGTCGTGCCCGCGTTGTTCGAGGGATCGATTGCGCGCGGCCGGCGCGGCGGCCGCGGTGATCCAGAATGAAGTCCGACAAATTTGCGAAAGTGCGTGACTGATTGGCGAGTGCGTGCGTGCGTGCGCGAGAGAGGGTAAAAAAAATTCCTCTCTCCCGATCTATCTTTCTCCCTGTCCGTGCGCGTGCTCTTCTCCCGCCTCACTCGCCCTCAAACTGTTTTACCGGGTATGGTCTCTATGTCCGGCAGGCCCATGATGCTCGCACCTTGGCGCCGCGCGACTTGCAGCCGACTGACCGGCGAGGTGAAGCGGGCATGCTCGCGATCGCTGGGGCGCTTTCAAGCCGGCCCCGCGTATCCTAGCAACTGGAAATCAATTTCTAACGGCAACACGCTCTGCCTTTCGTCGAAGCCGAGGAACCGGAGGAACGGGAGCGTGTTCTCCACGGCGCGGTTCCTCGGCGGCGCGTCGAAAACATGGCCGGCGAGTCGCGTCGCGTGGGTCCCGAGGCACCGGCTTCCTCCTGCATCTCTTCGCGAACGTGAGCGAAGAGACACGAGGGCCATTTGGAAAGTTCTCGGTATGAGGTATACGAACGGCACTCCCGATGGCACGTGAATCTAATTGATGGAACTAGCTGGAACCTTACACGTGTTCGTAGAAGGGTTGGAACTTTCCGTTTAACGTATACCCTTTAAAGGTTTGGGAGTGAAAATATTGCCACAGTGAAATAACGAGTGAACTATTCGCCCTATTGGAGTGAATATTTACTCCAACAGAGCGAATATTTCAGATAGAAACGAGAACACCAAATTACTTAGATCCGGGCAAGCTGAAGCCCAGATAGCACACACAGTTCTATGAATATTCTTCTGGAGTACAAATATTCTTAATTTTAGACTATTCCAATCGAATATTCTATAAAAATATGTAAATTATTACAATCGTATATTTATGACGAAGAAGAACGTTTTTAAAATAGTCGTCGAGAATGTCTTTGAAATATTCGTTCAGAATAATTTTTGAATATTCATCGTCATACAGTTTCCCAAGGGCGCCTTCTCTTATTTAGCCAATATGTCTATTTAGCAATATTGGTCTAATATTGTATGAATTTTAAGCCAATATTCTTATTACATTGTTGAATATTGGTCAATGCACTTCCAATATAAATCTAACATTATATAATCATTATTTTGCAATATTTACACTTATTATATGGTCAGCCAATGCATTTCTAATATAAAAGCCCGTATCAGACAACGGGTTGAGATTGAGATTAGATTGAAATTTAACCAGAGTAAAATTCATAAACTTGAGATTAGTAAGCTTTACTCTGATTAGTAAAATTTCAATTTAATTTTAATTTCAATCCGTGGTCTGACACGGACTTAACTGACATTGGGCTAATGTTTAGCTAGAGAGAAGCCTGAGAGTTGTCACGGTCCGGTTTTACGTGATCTTCGAACACGATACGCCCTCTGTGAATATTGAAAACGTGGATGTGAACTACGTAGCCAATGTCCACGTTTGGGTTAAGCGGATAACGCAATGTGCACGTTTTGCTTGTATTCCGTGCTATGTGCATGAAACGTCGATAAAAACAGAGTTATAGATTTTTCGTTAAAAATAATTCAAGTAAAAATTTGTAACTTTATAGGGCCAGTTTCACAAACGTCGGTTAACTGCTAACCGAAGGTTAACTGATCCTCTGTCTCTTTTTAGAGAACAAGATAGAAAAAGATAGGGCGTTGACTGAACTCTGGTTAACAGTTAACCAACGTTTGTGAAATTGGCCCATAGTGTTGTAGCTGTCAAAGTGGTCGACCGATATCAGTTACCATAAGAGTTGTTACATAGGCAGAGAGAAACCTGAGAGCGGCTACGCCGGTGTTTTACTTGATACCATTTTCGTTCGGCTGATTCCAGCGCCTTATGCCCATTTTCATTCTTGGAATTCTTCTGCTACACCCATTTTCAAGCACTGCCGATAAACCATCTGCCAGCCTAAAGTCTTCTAACAATTCTTTTTATCGTTAATCAACTATTAGCGATTCACATTCTTTCGTTGCTGACATATAAATTATATGTATAAATGCAAAATATAAAAATTTGCTGACAAGCTACGTTGTACTCCTTTTGCCAACAAAATTTGTAGTAGATTGTACTCGATAAACTTGGTTATCTATATATTTTATTATAACTTAGCATTTTCTGGTTATAAATGAAATGATGCCTCTCTTTTAAATTTGAATAAAATTTTTATCCGATAAAAACAGACTAACTTGTAGAGGCCCTCCACCACCCCCGCCGAATTTTTCAAAATCACTTTTCTCGGAGTTTATCAATAATGTCTCATCAACTAATGATCCGAGATAAGCCATTCTTATTTCGTTAGAAGCGCTGAAATCTTAGCTTTCCAACGAGACCAAGATCATCATGCTACGATTTTACTGTGCGAAAATACTGACATTTATATCGACTCACAATCTCGATCTCGGAAGACAATCAATATTATTTTCAGAAATAATCGATGATGTCTCATAAACTAATGATCCGAGATAAGCCATTCTTATCTCGTTAGAAGCGCTGAAATCTTAGCTTTCCAACGAGACCAGAATCAACTTCCTACGATTTTTCTGTGCGAAAATATTGGCGATTATATCGACTCACGATCTTAATCCTGAGATAGAAACAGCAGACGGCGCGTATAAGCGGCGTCTCGCGCGGTGTCTGGCGTAGCGATGTTTACTACGGAACAGCTGTGCCTCGTATGTTTTTATGCCAGGTTTTTGGGGACGTAGTACGCTCGCGTACTACTCCCGCAAAACTCGCGCGGCCTTCGTTCATGAATGGTGCGCGCGCGCCCGATTTTTAAAACGCTATAACTCGGCGAAAAATCGACGTAGCGACACGAACCAAAAACCAATCTTCTTCGTTTCGCATCCCGCAGATGTCTACACTGAATATGTATGCCCTTATCATGAAACTTAAACACGGCAGTGGAATAAAAATTAAAATTCTGAAATATAAATTATACGTATAACTGCTAAATATAAAAATTGGCTGACAAACTATATTAGACTGTATAGCAAGTAAATTAAAGTTTGACTTTTTATCATTATTCATCCCATTTTATTGACATGCTTTATTTCTACTAGCACTTTGGTATAATTAAATGTGTCTAGTTTTGTATCAAACTTGTATACTTTTTACCGGTAAAATTTGTAGTACACACTGCTCTGGATATTCATTAGAAAATTATTTAAACATTCTTTTGTACATACAAGATTGCTCCGTTTATATCGGACAATCAATAATAAATAAACTAATACCTCTCTTTATTAGAATTAAATTTTTATTTAATAAAAACAGACCAACTTGTAGAGGCCCTCCACCACCCCCGCCGATTTTGATCGGCGGTCCTCTTTTCTTTACGATTTGGTTTTATCGTGTTTATTATTTATTTTATTTTACTTATAATTTACTTTACAATGCATACAACATTATAAACGAAATAATTACAGTATAAAATTAAAAATAAATTATCTATACAATACAATATTTTACTTGACGTTACATATTAAATATTCGGTATGCATGCACACAATAACACGAAATTCTTGTAAAGTAAAATATGTGTCTATTGAGTATATTTATCAAAGTTTTTAATAACCATCGAATCATACAATATTGCTACAATTTATTTAATTTAATTTAATTTATGTACGTAATCGCAACTAAAAAGATCGTTAATAAATTTATTATTTCTGTATCCTAGCCGTATTCCGACTTACAGACCTACCTATTCATTTTCTACCTACCCGTGTTTCAACATAATGAACTTACAAATCTTTAATTAATCGCGACGCGATTTTCTATGGGTTTGTCTTGTAGTTTAACGCGCCCGCGGGATATAATAGGGGTTTCACTCTCGCACATATGCGAGAATGTATGTATATAGAAGCATAACCCACCCGAATTGTGACAAATCAAAAGAAATCAAAGTACAGCACCCTTACTTAGGTACTCCATCAGAGTGGCCAATATTGACCACATACCTCGTCGTATTTAGTCCTTCGGTGGGCCAGATTGGACCTACCTTTTGTTGCTCCCGGCCATACAATCTGGTCATTTTGACCAGAGATCAGGAAGGAAGAAAACTCCTTCCATAGTCGGTTATCGTCACCGACAAATATTACGTACGGTTCGAATATATGAGTGTCGATCGTATCGCAAAATGCACGACCACGAGAGGTTAATTAAAGAAGAATATTAATTCAAAAAACTTTACTGTATATACGAATCAAATTTATTTTTACTTCCGTTATTTGTTCAAAAATATTGACCATCTCTTCGTAACTTGATCTTTGAATTCGAAATTCAAGTAGATATAGAATAAAATTTACTTCGCGTTAGAATGATTTTAATCATATTCCTCGATAAATTAAAATTTATAATATGGATAAAATTAAATAATTAATTGAAAATTTTTCCTGAAAAACCGATCGCGAAAACCGACCGCGAAAATACAAAGATGCGTATGACTATGCATGTGCATCTTGAAAATACGTATATCACGTACATGTACATACACACATACAAATAATAAATGATGTCAGATCAGAAATGAAGAAAACTCCTTCTATAGTCGGTTTATCACCAACAGATATTTCGTACGGTTTGAACTACATATATGCGAGCGCCGATCGTATAAAAAAAATGCACAACCAGGAGAGAAGTTATTTAATGAAGAAACTTAATTTTAAAAAATTTAATTTCTAAAACTGATCAAAGGATAATTTTATTTCCGTTTTCTAAAGTTGACCGTATCTTCGTGACTCGATCTTTGAATATAAAATTCAAGCACATAAATATAGAAAAAGTTACTTTGCGTTAGTTATTTTAATTATATTCCGCAATAAAAAATTAAAATTTATAATATGAATAAAATTAAACAATTAATAATTTTTTGAACATGTTCTGAAAAACTAATCGCGAAAACCGATCGCGAAAATTGACCGCAAAAATACGAGATGCGTGTGACTATATGCATGCATTTGTGCTAAACGCATCTTGAAAGTATCGCGAGACATGCAGAAAAAAATGACGTAAGATCCAGAAAAAAGGAACTTGCCGCACGAGTGACACCGATATTATAATTGAATGTTACAGTTAATTGATAATCTCAAAGTATGAAAATAATTTTAAATTTAAGCATTCTCGTCACAATATATTGGAATCTTACGTCATATTATTTTACTTTATACATTTATCAAATCTTTAATTAAAAATGGATAGGCTACGAGAAATTAGTTGGCCGAATACATCGATAATATTCGTCATATTTCGTGTAATTTCTAAAATGTAGTTCAATGATTTTAACATGAAACACGAGCTCAACATACTCTGATTCGTAGAGCTCTATGAAAAATCACTTCTCTTCGATAAATAAAATATATTAAATAAAACGTCAAATTATTTGTAACCTATCCATTTTATGGTAACGTAACGGATCTACGAAATGGATCGATCTACAATCTACGATATAAAAATGTAGATTCCGTTACTGTGATAGAAAACTTTTCACTCACCGACGCGACACGATGCGCAGCGGCGAAGTTGATATCTGCGTTGATTCTGCAATGGCGCCCGATGTCTCCTCCTCCACTCAGGTGTCCTCCTCTCAGGTGTCGTTGTCTCAGCTGTCCTCCGACACACTCGCGAATTTACACTTCCGTTTGTATAAAAGTCACTTGTCACTGTCACTGTATCCAAATGCCACTTCACTCGCGAACTTACACTTCCGTTTGTAAAGTCACTTGTCACTGTCAATGTATCCAAATGCCACTTCACTCGCGAGCTTACACTTCCGTTTGTAAAGTGACTTGTCGCTGTCACTGTATCCAAATGCCACTTTTTCGGTCTTTACAGTTTCCGATTGTCACTGCCGATTGTCACAGAGTTCGATCGCCACTACGAACTGTTCGATTACATCGTTGCACTGATACCCGCACAAATCACCGAGTTCAACGATCGCGCGATGATAGCGATCGCGGTTTCGTCTCGCACTTGTCGCGTACACGTATCAAGAAAGAAAATAATACGATGTGCGAAGCGGCGCGGGCGTAACCGAACGATTCGACTGTCGCCGCGTGAATGGCCCTGCGTAGGCGCCCGTAAACACCTCGGCCGAAAGCCGAGCGCGGATTCCAAGAAATGACGTAGCGCCGTGAACACCTCGGTCGAAAACAATCTATTGTGTCGAATCGTTCGGCGCGGCGAATGTTCCGCGTGTTTTTGTTTTTTTCCGCGCTCGGTTCTCGGCCGAGGTGTTTACGTCGCCGTACGCAGGATCATTCACGCGGCGACAGTCGAACCGTTCGGTCGCGCCCGCGCCGCTTCGCGTATCGTACTTTAGTCTTTCGTGACGCGCGTTCGCGACGAGTGCGGGAAGACACCGCGATCGTTGAATTCCCGCGAGTCGCGGTGCGAGTTTATTTCGCGTAAGAATGTGGCGGCGATGCATTCTGAAACGCGCGCGGCGGGCGGCCGGCAATTTCAGATCGTCGTGCTCGGCCAAATCTTTACACGCTAGTGCCGCGTCCGACGCCGAGGCGGCGCCAGCGTCACGTGACACCTGCCGCGGCGTCGCGTCCCCGACGTATATATCGCGCGTCGGTCACGTAGACTTAGCCAGTTGCTCCATCAGTTGCTCGATAAGATTCTAATTATTTCGGACGTTGATCGTCGCAAACTCGCGCGGATCGCTCGCCAATTGGTGCGACAAACGCCCTGGAGTTCGCCGGTGCGAGGAATATCGGTAGGTACAGGACGACTCCCTCAGCTGTCAGTTTCTCCGCCGAGTTTCTAACCTTATTCCCCCTCCTCCCGCGTTCCCGCATGCTGCTTTTGAACCGTAGAATACGTTGACAATTCGCTGAGCGACGAAACAGGCTTCGACGAGTCGCTCGGCCGCGAACGACAGTACGGAGACGCTGTCTCGGGGACGCGCGTACCCTCGGAAATTACTCGTATAACCTCAAAACTTGTATGTCGCGTTGCATGTTGGTGTTTACGTTAGGCCTGTCACCGTTGTGACGTTGTTGTCAAGAAGCTCCCTTTGCCCGCAAGGTCCGTCGTTTGCCAGCTGATCTAACGGGCCGCTGAGGATGACCGACGCGCCGCCGTCGGGCGCAGAAAGCACGGAGGAGTCCGGGAAACAAGACGATCCTATGAAGAGCTACGAGTTCGACGGGGAAACGTACATCTACACCGACAAGGCGACGAACGTTACCTACAGGTTCGACCAGGAGAGCAACAAATGGGTCGTGAAGGAGGAGAGCAAGGTGAGCTCCGACAGTAAGGAGAGCCTTAAGCACGACAGGAAAGAGCGAGCCGATGGGTCGGAGAAGGGAGATGACTCTGGCCCGGATGCTGGCGCGGCGGAGTCTTTCGGCTTCGAGAACGACACGCACACTTACACGGACCCGAACGACGGCAGCGTCTACTTCTGGGACCGAGAGAAGAGCGCCTGGTTTCCGAAAGTCGACGAGGATTTCATGGCCAAGTACCAGATGAGCTACGGTTTTACGGACGAGAGCGCGCCGGGGTCGAAACCGCCGGAGCCGACGCAGCCGCCGCCCTCGCAGCAGGCCAAGGCGGACAAGGAGCAGAGGAGACTGGAGGCCAAGCGGAAAACTCAGGAGCCGCCGACCTGGTTCGAGGTCGACGAGGCGCACAACACCGCCATTTACGTATCCGGCCTACCTTTGGACATCAGCATGGAAGAGCTCACGCAACTCTTCGCCAAGTGTGGCCTCATAGCGAGGGACGAGAGGGGAAAGGACAAGATCAAGCTGTACAGAGACGGCAACGGGGAGCCGAAGGGGGATGCCCTCTGCACCTACATCAAGGTAAGAATGCGTGTTTTACGTTTATATACGTTGCCGACCTGCCTTCGATTTGCCTCTTGCGCGGCCGACAATATCGCAGCGCAAAAATTGACGTATCAGTATTTTATTATACATCGTTAAATACAGAGAGTACATCGATCTTACGCTGATATATGTACAGACGAAGCAATGAAAAAGTGTGGCGAACACAAGAATGGATAACAAAAAGAATCGAGTTTTGTCTTGCCTTTTGCCTAACTGGCTGCAATTCATTTGTAAAAACTGCGCGCTACGATCGGCGTAAACGAGGGTCGCTAATACGGTTTAACTAATTGTCGAGTGATAATTATAATCGCTCGTCTAATTCGCGTATCGCGAAATTGCGATAGGCGTCAGCAACATATATATTTTTTTATCGATACGTGGATCCTGCGCGCGTTACAATTAATCAATCGCGCGAGACGTTGCCCGGCAAAATAATCGTCGAGCCGGAAGAAGATAATTGTAGAGAGAGATAAGTAACTTTCTGCAATGATATTACGATATAGATAAGTACACGGAGAATATTTAGATATCAGTAACAATATCGAATGCGGTGGCTACAATATTCCGATCGTTAGTTGATACATCGGTAGGTCTTCTATTTCGGAAACTTTGAACGTTCAGACAGGAGAAACCCTAGGGGATTTGTTTCCCGATTACTTTCAGTCGTAATAGTTTTTCGCGATCTTGCAAAATTAATTTTTACGATGACAATTATAAATAATATCTAAGTATAGTTAAAATAACGTTGGCAGTTGAACAGTGTCGTTGTAACAAAAGTGTATCTTTTAAATGTGTGTTTTTTTTTCTCTCTTAGCCGCATATATTATGTAACGGAGCGGTAATAAGTCGAGGCTGCAATTACAACTAATTGTCGATATAATGATTCGAGTTTTTCCTTCACGGCTTGAACAAAACTTCTTCCCGCGCGAAGTCGTTTATCTTATTGTGAAACTGCGAAAGAACGCTGTTCATATCCGCTAAGTTCTGGGTTTGTTGTCCGCTGGCTAGAAAAGCGCCGTATTCCCGCCCTTGGGGCAACACTTGGGCGACCCTTGGCACACTCGATTGCAAACGGGTTCTATTCGCCCGATGCCGCGTGCGCTCTTTAGGCTGCACCTTCACACTGTCAACAATTGAAAAGATTATCAGCTGTGGAACGCCTTGATCGCTACGCGGAGAGAGTTTTCTGTTAAAATTTATCCTGAAAATGATGTAATCGTGGGACAACGTGGCATGTCGGAGAATTTTATGAGAGTTTTGGGAAATTTTACTAGTAAAATGTATGGTAAAATTGTGACGAACACAAGAATGGATAAAAAAAATAGAGTTTTGTCTTGCTTTTTGCCTGACTGCAATCCGTGACTGCAATTCATTTACAAAAAACGATGCGCTATGATTAGCGCGAACGAATATCGAAATATATTGCTAATAAAATGTGTGATAAAATTTCAAAAAACTCATAAAGTTGTTCGCAATGCCATGTTGTTCCACGATCATATGATTTCCAGGATAAATTTTAAGAGAAAATTGTCTCCGCGTAGGCTCCGTGTATTGTCAAAAATTTCTTCAAAATATATTTTACGTTAAGCTTAGTTTAATATAATGATGTTAGTACTTGGAAGGTGGTCGCGATCCCAGCTTGACACCATGGGCCCACTGTTGATTCTCCTTTCGGTCAAGCCAATTCCCTCTCAGATTAGGTCGATTCTTCTTCCTTTCGCGCTGCTTCCTCTGCTCGTCTGAATACTTCTTGCCCTTCTTTCTGGGCTTTAATCTTTGGTTTTGCGGCGCAAACGGGTCATCCGACTTCTTGCGTCTTCTAGCTGAAAGGGCGAAGGTATCGTGAATAAATTCGGTTACATTTGTATCGGTAAAGTTATGTATGAATGCTTTTTCCGCTGCGAGTGTCTCGAGTGCATTTCTCACCTAAACGACCGGCGGGCACTTCGCATATATAATGCTTCCGCTCGACGCAACTCTTCGCACTCCACTTATACTTCAGCGAGGGATCCATTATGATGCAATGCCACGCGTACTTCTTAGATCTCCCGGGTTCTATTTTCCCGAAACTCTGGAAAACCATCTTTTCGCCTGTTACGCCCCACTCCCAGGCCATCTGTTGCCAGTTGAAAATTCCGCCGATCCACCGCTCCAGTTTCGCTGTTGAGATTTGTGGGTTTGGATAAAATTGAACGACGTAACGACGAGACGAGACGGGAGTAGCTTATACTCACTGAACTGATCCCCCATCAGGTACTTCCTCAGCATCTTGTCCTTTCCATTTCTGTCCAATATTGCCAGAGTCGCGTTTCTGTCCTTGCAGTGAAAGTACGCGTCTCTCCACGGTGCCGTGCCGGCGCTCAGATAATAACAGAATCGTTTCAGTCGAAAGAATCCCACGGGACACGCGAATCGTCTCACGGGTTCATGCTGTCGCAATGTTATGGATTGATTGGTCAAGGGGTTGATGTCAAAGTTCGGCGGCTCCAAAACGGCCGAGGATAAACCTACAAGAAAAAAAATCAGATATGATAATTTTTTTTATATTTCTCGTCTTTCGGAAACGTATTTTAACAATCTTTTACACCTTCAGAAAGGATTTCTGTTGCTGAGACAAAAAATATTCTTGACGCATTTATGTTTCTCGCAACCTCATTTAGTATAAAAATAAGACAATATCAAAGTAAAATCAATAATTCGTATTCTCCTCTATCGAATTAAGAAAGACTGACTTACTAGATTGAGACAAGAGTAACTTTATACATTCTTACGTTTAGAATAAATTTTCCCTCCATCTTACAACGCACGAAGTTGGCACCACAGTATTCGGCAAAAGATATACTATCATTTTATTCTAGATTTTAGAATTTTTTATTTAAGATTAAAATATTCCTTTCTCTATAATATGATTTGCGCTATATGGGTCCTATTTTATGATATGTTGAAGTGTAATAGCATTGGATCCGGAAATTTTTTTCTGTGGGTGTGGAGAGAAAAGTCGAGCAATTCTGAGATTGTTTACTCAATATGATCAGTCGATCCTAATTGACAAAAATTATGACCAATTTTTATACAATAGCAATTTTTACCGTATTTGTGATTCCTTTTTTTACAATAAAATTAAAAATTCTTTTTGAATCATATCGGACAGTTTAAAACTCTTTGCGGCAGAGAGCCAGAACTTAATAAATTATGTTGAAATGCTGAGAAAATGGGATGTTCGCTTCACGAAGGTGCGCCCCGCTCCTCTGCGACTCGTGAACACTTGTACGCTTCTGTTTTGGCATTAATTTCATGTTCTGATAAATCTCGGTATTTTGAAATGCATATTTTTACCCTTTACTTGTATAATTTATGTGCATTAATGCGTTCCGAGTGAATACATTTTTGTTGCGTGGCCTTGAGCAGAATTTAAGCATTATGTAATGTCGTCTGTGGTTCACGCGTGACTAGGCGCCGCACCATTGCACAGCCGAGATATAATATCATTAAATTATTCAGCATTGTCTCGTAAACCAGATTGTTTAGACCTCCATCTCGTATGACAACAAAACAGATTTGCAACGTTCTCAAGTTTATGCTCACGTTAAAATGTAAATGTCCTTTTTCGAGGGCACGCCCGCGACTTTCATCATGCGACTTCTGTAATCTTACCGCGGTAGACTTTATAAATCATGGTTTTATCTTTGTGCTCATATGTATTCGTCTCAGGTGCATGTTTACGCGATTCTGTAGACTTTACTTATCTGACAAGAAACAATGAAAAGAAGCGCATCGCGTCGATGCCTCGTTACCGAGGAAAAAAAAACGAAGTTTTATCCGCTCACAATTTTATATAATTTGCCGGCGAGGGATCCGATTAATTCGATTGATTTGATTGATTGAAATTTTTAGGGCGCGACAGATCCTTCGAATGAAACAGACCGGTGTAAGTGGAGCAGTTTTCTATGATAACGATACGCGATAGCGATGCGCGCATACAATAGGCACTGTTATCTCTAATCGACATTTAATGTCAGATTAAAGCGCCAGTTAATTAAGATCTCGAGATACAAATGAGGCACGAGAGATTTTGAGGGACTCGTGTAACTTTTTGCACGTGAGGGAGTTTAATAATTTCGGCACGCGAGTCGCGAGTTAATGATTCTACACTGAAAAAAATTTCTGGTTTAATATGGACGAATCAGATAATTCCTTTAGGATTTACCAGAATTTCTGTAGGCTTACAGGAATTCTGGTAAATCCTAAAGGAATTATCTGATTCGTCCATATTCAACCAGAAATTTTTTTCAGTGTACGAGAGACTGTGGCGGAAGGATTTGTTTCCGGTGTGTGTGCCAACGTTTATTGCAAATTAATGTAGCTGTTACGAAAGTACATATATGAGCGGCGCGGTGGCGATACGTTGGCAATGATTATTTGTCGTACGTATCCAATTAATTACTCCAAGATCCATCTCCGTGAGTCATCGTCGCGTGGACGAACCTCGTGGCGCCCATCTCGCCATAAATTCCAGATTAAAGCGCCAGTTAATTAAGATCTCGAGATACAAATGAGGTACGAGAGATTTCGAGGGACTCGTGTAACTTTTTCCACCTGTGGGAGTTTAGTAATTTCGCGAAAGGCACGCGAGTCGCGAGTTAATGATTCTACGAGAGACTGTGGCGGAAGGATTTGCGTCCGGTGTATGCGCCAACGTTTATTGCAAATTAATGTAGCTATTACGAAAGTGCATGCATATGAGCGGCGCGGTGGCGATACGTTGGCAATGATTATTTGTCGTACGTATCCAATTAATTACTCAAAGATCCATCTCCGTGAGTCATCGTCGCGTAGACGAACCTCGTGGCGCGCATGTCGCCATAAATTCCATTTATGATACACAACCAGTATCGTATGACTATTAATAAATACCAGAGATTTAACCTTTCCGCCCGCAGGCCTCCAATATGGAAAACACACTCTCGTTCGCACGGCAATTACGCGTGAAAGAATCGAGCGCATTTTATCGAAACTCGCGTCCAATCCGCAACAGTTCTTGGCGCGGGCAAATCGACGAGGTAAACAAATTGTAGCAAGCGGAAAAGGGATATTAGGCCTCGGTAGATCTACTTACATCGGAATAACGTAACCGCGGCTTAATATCGCGGTATCAGTTTTGACCTCGATAATAAATGACTCGAGGTTAATGAATTGGAAAGCAACTTTAGCTGCGCGTATTTTTTTTCTCCTTTTTATTATCTTCGTAACGAGCGCAAAAATACAGAAATAGGCATACGTCGGATTACGAAACGTCCAGAAAAATGAAGTATTAAACGTACTTTCCGGTCGAGATTGAACGCGCGGCGTTCAATACCTTTTTGTTTCATTAAATCGCCATTTCACGCACTTTCCCTGGATGGAATCGCCATTGTTTAAGCGAGAAGGGCAGATAACGCGCGCCGCTTTGTTCTAAATATAGTTTAGCTCTCGTGTAATCTTTTAAATGGACATTTAATTGCCGATGGCAGAGTTTTGATTTTAAGCCGCGATACATGTGTACACAAGTATGATATATAGGCCGCAGGTTTAAATGGGTCAGTATCAGATAGTTAATCGGTTAGCTAATGCCCCGGGGCGCGTGTTAAAGCACAGCGCTCGCACCGAGAGCCCGTTCGAAGCGTTTAAATGTACATTCACACACGTTAGAATTTCTGCGAGAACTGGTTTCCACGAACAATAAAAACCAGTAGCACTGTCCATAATTCCATGCCTCTTAATTATAGTGCGATCGATTTTAGTTAGTCATCGACCGAAGGTGGCACTGCGCATGTACCGATTTGAATGAGCGCTGCAATTGTGCGGAGGAGGGCGTGGATTAAAGTGAATGCGAAATAACAATCTCTTTGTTTAAAAACAATGTATGCATTTTTGTAAAAAAAAACATTGTTTAAAGTTGTTATAAAATTCACGAAATAACCTCGGTCGGAATTTTCTACACGTCCAACAGCATGTGAATTTGCAAACTATGCTATAAAGTTTGTTCCGGCTTTGGGCGCCGCGATATACGACGTGTTTTAAAATGCGAGACATAACAAACGAGATGGTCAGCGCGTATGCTGCATATTTCATTTCGGCAGGGAGAACTCAGGTTCCGAGAGACCGTATTTAAATCTCTAATGCGAGAAATTCATTCTAGTTTCCTGGTTTTTATGAACCTATGATACTTGATGACGAATATTAATGATAAAATTAGATTTTCTGTGTTTCAGTGTATTTAAAAAGTTGGATTTTTTTTTTAAGCAGCTGTTTGGGCAGAATTTTGTTTTCTTAAAAACGTCACGTTTACGAGTCGGAAATAGTACGTTGTTTCTTCTTAGATTTGCACATCTTACAAGTATGACATGTGCGTCCTCTTATCACAGGTGCGCAAATTGTTGTCTGATACCGAAATAACTGTTGCGTTAGCAGAAAATACCGTGGAAGTAGCGGCGGTTTATATTCACATAAATATTCATCCATATAGGAAGTCACGCAAAACTATTTTTCTACTGTTTACGGCCACGTAAAGATGCAATTAAAGATAAGTGTTTTTTTAGAATTGGCACGAATTATTGAATTCCTGAATAATTAATATTCCCATTCAAGAAGAAATTAAAATATATGAAAAAAAATGAAACAAATAGAACTGTTTTGTTAGCAATGGCCGTACACACATGCAAGCATTGTCAGTTAGGAATTGCTAATATCACGGGTCATAGTTGATAAACTCGCATAAACATTTAACGTACGCCTCGAGCCAGCTAGTGTTACTAACAGTTAAAATTGTAGTTGCAGTTGATAATTCTCGTCTCTTTTAATCACTTATTGTCGATAGCGTTGCACGACTGTGTTATAACCTTCGAAGAAAGGTCTCGCGAGATATCCGATATTTTCAAGCTCATCTAATCGACTGATATCGATAGTCGCGACAGGAAATTATATTTATGGTATATGCACTGGTTGTCTACCCACAACTTGCGCTTTCATTCACACGTTTATGGCACAAGGCTAAGCCTCGGTCGCTTGGGTGGACATTCTTCTCATATTTCCAGAATTTATCGCCACTTTCGCGAACCAACTGGTATTATCGGTAATTGGTCAATTAACCTTTGATTTTTATTCACCACGTTGTCAAAGGAAGTTAATCGATTCGGGTGGATTAAAGTTTTATCCGTCGTAAATCGTAAAGTTTGACTGTAATTAATCGTTAAATAATTATATTAGTTTTATTACGAAATAAAGTTTCATCGACTGATACCCAGTTTCTTGATATAATGATTACATCATTGACTAATTTTGACTTTCTGAATCTGTACGGACGCTGCAGATATTTTACGTTCGTTACGATCAGAGCTATTCTTGCCGCCGCAGATCTGATTTGATGGTATCGTTCTGTTGGTATCGTTCCTGCCTAGATTCGATCTCGCGAAAATAGATCGCTACGTCTGTACAGAAACTGCATGTCTGTCGGACTAAGACACGTGTTCCGATGGTTAATTTATTCGCGGTTTCCATCAGAAAATGCACGGTAAAATATGCGCGTCCCGAAACTGTCTGCGTAACGTTTCACCGGCAAGCCGTTTAATCTTACATGCAGAAATTTTACGTACGTCTCTTATCGAGTATGCAGCTCGCATTTCTTTCAAGGTTCGTTTCGAGCTTTTATTGAACTTTAGCGGGACGTTATTTTTTAAGAAAAATGCGAAGAAAATAAGGTCAAACACGATTAATAACCAAAGAGCTTACCTCGGAACGGGAAGTCTTTTCGTAGGAACCTAGTGTTAGCTTAATTCTATATAGCAGACTCTTTATGTGACAGACTGAAGCTACTTTAATTCATTTTATATCTGCCGCGCATTTAAAACTTTTTACTTAACATTTAGAATTGATCGTATTACTGACTCTATCATCACATGTATTAGCTTAATTCTATACAGCAGACTTTATATGACAGACCGAAGCTACTTTTATTAATTTTATATCTGCCGCGCTTTAAAAATTTTTTACTTAACATTTAGAATTGATCGTATTATTGACTGTATCATCACACAATTTTCGAAATTATGTAAATAACAATTATACACTGTGTCTTCGTAACTACCGATCTATATTGGAACTGTCATTAGGCTGCCAATTAGCAGAGCGCGTAACTACTAATAGATACAAACATCTTAATAGCGTCCCAACATCGAGAGATATTAGTTCACGATTACGTTTGATGAATTATCCCAGGCATTAATCAAGATTTTAGTTACGTTGAATATTTTTGAAGCTTGCAAAACAATATTTCGGTTTTCCATTGATTTATATTAACTGCTAAAAAAAGTAATGATGAAATTTGCCGAAAAATATTTTATGAAATTGTGTCAATTCAGGTATTACGATAGTTTTTAATTGATATTGCCTTCACTTCGGCAACGAACAAAATTACACAGTGCACCAATAGATTGACCGCGGGGTTAAATATGGGTTAATTATATAATAATACCGAATTGTGTTATTACGGTGGGGGACTCGTAATTGTAGGAGAGAGGCACTGATCCTCTCCCTTTAAACGACCATTTATTACTGTAATTTCGATACAATTGATCTCCGAACCTGCTGGTATCCATCGTAAACTGCCGCGCGTTCTCTTTTTCTCTCATACAATACTTTAGCCGCAAATTTGTAATTCTAGTCATTAGCATACATCTCAAAAAGGTATCTCCCTTGCTATTTCTTCGGATTAATCGCGCGCTGAAAAATCTCCCCCATGTTTACTCACTCACTCGTACTCCGGATCGTCCCTCTCATTGGGATCGTCCGCGATCTGCTTAATCCACTTTGCGCACTTTAAATTAATTACCTGCGACGCACAGAAACAGGGCCCAACACTTCCACATGTCTACTCCCACACGTCGTTTATTCGCCGAGATACTCGTTACAGAAGTCGCAACGCGCGTGCAGGATCGTCCTCATTCTCGTTCCTTGAACCTCGCCTCGCTTCCGATTTCGCGCATTGGTTGATCGCCGCTTCGTGGATCCGCGAAGTCGCGCGAGGGAGAAAGAAAAACCCTGCGCCCCTCGTCCTTTTTCCACGGGATCGAAGAGAAGTCTGTGTCGTAGCTGGGGTATACCGGACCGTCGTCGATCCGGACGATGGGGACCGTTCTTCGGCGGAGGTTCGCGGCCGACTGAAGCCGCCGCTTCCATTCCGCTCGGCGCGTACCTTCGCGCGCTCCGAGCTTACGAGCGGAATTCTCTCGCGCCTCCCCTGTCGCCAGACGCTACCGCGATCCTTTTCCCCGATCCCAAGGAGCTACGGATCTTGCCTGGCTTACCCTGATTTCGTCCAAAGCGAATACGCTTTGCGCAGTTGTTTACGGAGATAACCGCGGAGATATTCGCGCCTTCGCTTATTTTACAAGTCACCTGGGACGTTTCCGGCGGAGAAGTTTCTCGTGTGTATTTTACAGCGATTCGCGCGTATAGTATCACTTTTCTCGCGTTGCCTCGCGAGATTTTCTGTCGTTTTATTCAAACGCGTCGTCGTTGGGTCACTTTTATATTTGCATTCCTTTAACGAGGCCTTGATTAAGATGATTTCGAAAGAGCGGAATCTATCACTGTACAAAGCGTGCGGATATTTAATGATTTCTGTTCACGTTTTAGCATAATACTACTAAACTCTACTAAGACTCAAGGATACGTGAACTTAGCAAGCGTAGAGCGTGCGATAATTGCGCGTCAACGATGTAGGAATTGTTGAACAAACTCAACCTAGCTGCGTCGACAACTCGCAAAATGTTTGAGAGACTGCACGTCAACGAGGCTGAAGTGCCCCAACACTGCGCTCAATATTACTGTCGTAAAACCGGAGCGCGGAATATATAAGCATTAGCAACTTTGCACAACGGAGTAAGACCACTCTGTGCCGAAAGCACTTAATCAGCAATGAGGATTTCGTTGAATATCAGAACTGGAGCTAACGAATTATTATTACAGTATTTTCCTGCTGCGTTAAATAACGCAGAGCCGCGCAAAGAGGGAATATAAAGCGTGGAGTAATATATGCAAAGTCGGCCGTTTGTTATTTATGACGCCCATAATTTGGAATTAACGAGTAGAATTAATTAAGCTGTGTAGAAAAATTATTCCTGCGATAGCTTTCGACACTCTTGTCTATCGATTCCTATTAATAATTGAATTATATTTGCCTGGCGGCTCGGTTATTACTTACAATGATCGTAACTTGCAATTAATTGAGCAACGAGATAACACGATTATTTCACCATTGACAAATCCACCTTTTACACGTAGAGGAAAGTCCTCTGTCATGAGATAGGCTCCTAATGTGATACAGCAGGGTTTCTGCTAAATTAATAGGCATCGTCTGGTCCCACCATGAATTTATTGCCCCTGGGGTGAAATCTGTTTAGATGGAAAAGTGATTGTTAGATCGTGTAATCGTTGCAAAAACAGATTTGTGATTGAATTTGGACGTTGAAAGCCTACTATCTCACCTTAGAATCTTATCTCATCGTAGAGGAGCTTCCTCTGACTTTGTACGATTAACGATATACACAAGGATACTATGAAAGCGTAACGACCTGAAATTGGGCGTATACCCACTTCTAAAATATCATCGAGACGAGATCTACCAGACGAGCGTTTCCGTTTAATGGCAGACTGCCAATTGGGTGCATTAACGTCTATCTGTTCGATGGTATCTTTTGGAGAGTTAACGTCCGAATGGAGTTGATTAGAATGTAGTAACGATTGTAATAACGGGAGTAGCGGGAAATGTCTGCGAATAAATCGGAGATATCGCGCGGCTAGAAGCGCAATTTGCCGTCGTCGAGTCAGATCTCGCGCAAATCTCGGGCTTAATTATTCCCACCGATTTATCTGCTCGGGCGGATTTAGCACGGGCGCGGGAAGTACGTTAAATAATGCGCGCTCGAAAAATTTTAAATGCATTCTGAAGATTCCACCTATCGCATTGCGTGTGTCACACTGAAAAAAATTTCTGGTTGAATATGGACGAATCAGATAATTCCTTTAGGATTTACCAGAATTCCTTTAGGATTTACCAGAATTTCTGTAGGATTACAGGAATTCTGGTAAATCCTAAAGGAATTCTGGTAAATCCTAAAGGAATTATCTGATTCGTCGTTCTGTAGGATTACAGGAATTCTGGTAAATCCTAAAGGAATTCTGGTAAATCCTAAAGGAATTATCTGATTCGTCCATATTCAACCAGAAATTTTTTTCAGTGCAGAAATGTCGCGCCTGTTCTATTTTATCTCTGAAAAATGCACCGCATACCCGCGATAACTATTATGCGCTCCATATGCACGCCCTTAGTCACTATCGCGGTTGCATAATTTAGATAAATCCACGTTTCTCTTCTTTCGCACGAGAGACAGCTATTTTTGCACACGCCTTTATATCACACAGCAAATATAAATAGCGTCAGCTTTCTTATAATAGACAATAATGCTGGAATTATTAAGTGATCTATTCTAACTTTCAGTTATCACGTATTCAATCGCGATTGAATAATCTACTTGGATATTGCGCGTTTAATGTGTGGAATTGAAAGAGTATTTTGTACGCTTGCGACATCAAAGCACGACTTTCATTCTGCCTCTTTTTTCTTTTATCACAATAAATGCAGATCGCGTTTTCACGGGTGACGACGGGGGCGTTGTTACATTCAAACTACTATGACGGCGATTCATTTGCACATTCCTGATGCTTTGAAAGGCACACCGGGAATGCTGCGATTCGCGGAATTGCAATTTGGGGTGGGCTGACGACTGCGTGCCTGAAATCACAACGGTACGATTGACAGATTCAAGTAATTCTAGATATTGCGTCAGGCATTATGGAGATGTAGACGCAATGGCCAGGTTTACGGCTTGAGAATCACCGTCGCCGTACGGTTACGTCAGTACAATGTCACGTCAAGTTGTGCTTATTTAAAAGAGCTAGCTAATTTTTTTCCACACCTCAATAATCTTATCGGTAAATATCCTCAATTTCCGCGCTTAAGCTTCGCAAATCCATCCTCCCTTCTGCGCAAGTTTTTCGCGATATCGAAGACAAATATTTCAGATAAGATAAATGTACTTTATTTGTCCCGCAAGTTAAAGTCTTATTTTCAATATTTTATGTTCGTACATACGTACACACGCGGAGCTCAGCGGTATAACTGAAGAGATAACAGTAGTTCTATTTCTTGGCCAAGTTTCCGTATTGGGCAAGATCACGCGTGCTCCGTTACGGACATTTCTAAATCTCTCTCAAGGTCAGAGGAGTAAGGTATAAAAGTGAGATTGCGATCAGTCGATGATGTACGATATCCGAAGAAATTGGGGCAGCGCTCCTCGAAATTATATTATGTCGTGCGAGAATACTGAATCATCGGCGGTGCAACTGAACCGTCGGCAGTTCGGCCTGACTGAGGCTGTCCCGACCAGATTTACAAACGGGTGCGTTCTTTCACATGCGTTTACCGCGAAAGGAAGCGATCGGCGCTTTCGATGGAGCGGGAAGGTCAGCCACGTTATACATCATTAAAACTGCATGCTGTAAGGGTGGGGGGTATCCAATGTGCCGCAGGGAATATTTGAAGAAATGTCAGCTTTTATTGGTTGCTGAAAGAGTTGAGTAACATTTCACTCGGCGTCCTCAAGCACTTAGTGGTCTCGAAAGAAAGATCGAGACGTCTGGCTGCCGGCGCGGGCGCTCATATCCATTCATGAGACATTGTTTCTCGTTCGCGGGGAAATTTCGCCGGCGTGAATTCGCAATTTGCAAGGCCGTAATTTCCGCGACGTTTGTCGTTAGTTGAATACCGAAGTGTTAACAGCGCTTGATCGTACCGCCGGCGAGCTCGCCCGCGGCGCAAAATACGATGGGCAGCGAAACGACAATTTTTACGAGCGCTCCCGTACGCGCTCGTGCGCACTTTAGATCTTATGGAATTCCGGAAACCGGTTTTGCAAAATGTGCCGCGCGTATATGCGCTCGCGACGCGTAGTGTCGTCTCGTAGGAAAAGAGAGACACTGCGCCTAATATGGCAGGGATTTTATTGCGGCGGTTCTGCAGTTTCGATTGGAAACAATGAAGTGAAACGGCGAGGGTACGCTCGTCTCGTCGGAAGGCAAAAGTTAGAAGAGATAAATATTAAGTGAAGTCGGAAGGAAAAAATATTAAGTGAATGACCCCTCAGTACCTGTAGGGTCAGGCTCAATTTGTACGGTGTTTTATTGCGTTGAAGACTATGCGAATTGTTCCTTGCGAAATTGGTGACAATTCGGTATCTACGAAGGAGAGGATTTTCTTGTAAAATTTACCCTGAAAATTATGTAATTGCGGAGCAACATGGCATCTTGAAGAACTTTATGAGAGTTTTTTTGAAGTTTCGTCGTACATTTTACCAGTAAACTGTATGATAACAATTCGAAAAACTTCCATCAAGCTGTTCAAAGTGCCACGTTGTCCCGCGATTACACGATTTTCAGGGTACTTTAAGGGAAAATTCTCCCCGTGTATTTTTGAAATAATGCACATCCATTATACAATATATCCATTACGTTGTTGGGACAGAAAATTGAGTTATTCTAATTGGAGCGTAACTAGTCGATCAAAATGCTATACGCTTAGTTAATTCGAGAGACATCCTGCAGCTTCCCGCGGCGTTTATCTGCAAAGTGAAATGTATCCCGAAATACGCATCTCAAGGGAAGCTAGCTGGTGCTGGCTGGTACCACTCAAGATATCGAGCTGCAAGATACAGCGATATATTATTATCTAGCAAGAGTAGAGAATAATTTCAACGAATGTTGCATGTCTAATGAGAAACGCTTTATCGACTTTAAATTGCATTTTCTTGCGTCGCTTCGATTTAAATGCCCCCTGTCAAAAACTACGGAGCGTTTGACGTAACGACTTCTTGTTACACCCCTCTTCAGCCGAGGGGGCCCTTTGACTGGCGTCGTAATTTCGCGAGGCAAATTAGGCTATAAAAATTCGGCGTGCGCATCTCCTGCGACGACACGTTTCCGTTAGGCCGTGTAACTGTAAATTGGCCACGATGTAATGAAACTTACATGTGCGATCATCGAGCGTAATTGGCTGACTCATCCGTGGAATTTCGTGCGATGCAAATTAGTGGGACAACCGCGATCTTAAATGTCAATAGCGTAGGCGTAGCGTGCAATCATTCTGATGATAATTCAGTATGATCCTTCGGTTGAGTCAGCGCGTACCGCGCAATGTACACCTCGTCACTCGCACCGTAGATCAGCGCGGCGTACGCCTTATCATTTAGCCCTCGTTCCTTCCCGCGTCTAAAAATAACAAAATGAGTTGGGAGGAAAATGAGATATCGCTGTTGTATGCATTAGAGATTTTTGCCCTCTAGTCAAAACAGAATTTAAAATGATCTTCCGCCGTCACCAGCTTCTTTCCACAACCTCTCTCTCTCTCTCTCTCTCTCTCTCTTTCTCGAGAGTGAGCCTCGGGGCTTCTTCAGCGCGTACCTTAGCCTTGCACTTCAACCTGTCTCTTCATTGCACTTACGGAACTTGCGGTTATTGGAATGCGAGATATGCGCAACTATGAAATAGTGTCGTTAACGGTGCCAAGTTGCGAGGAACGAAGATGATCGATGATGACGCTCCTTCCTTATTTATACGTTCGACTCGACGAAAGGTTCCCGATGGGAAAATATTTTTTCTAGATCCGCTTTCTTGAACGTTTCAGTGAATTGTCGCGTCGCGCGTGCAGCCACGGTATTTAATGCATCGCGGCGAGAAATTTGGCCGAGCGCCAGTATGGTAATGATAATAGACGCCAGCTAACTATAGTTGCTTAGAGGGAACGTCAGTATTCATTCCGAAGCATGTTAGAAACACGACGTCTCACAATAATGATGATCCATGGCGCCTCGAAATCTTGTCGTCCGTCATTAATCAACGTTACAACGCAGATAAATGGATAGATGCTATCTTATACATACGCGGCGTTTTGCATCCATTCAGCGTCTCGCACGGCGATACGGTTCGGTGTGCTTCATTAAATTATTTTATGAATTTTTCAATCGATCAGTTGCGTACAATGCAATTACATCAGTCGCGGGCGTTAGTCAGTTCGAGAAATCACATCGCGACGTTTGCATTCCGAGAAGCTTATCTTATCGGGGGAGCACATTCGCAGGCAGTCACGTAATTGTCTAATTTATGTATTCTTAGTACATTAGCTGTGCCTACACCGAGGGGGGAAGCCAGAGAGCTAATTAGCACGTAGACGGACAGTCGTGAAATGCGAAAATCGTTAACGACCGTACGCTTTTACTGCGACATTTATTTACGCTGTTTGTAAATGTGCTAACAAGTGGCAGACGAACGAGTCGCGAATCTGCAACCGCTCGTGTCTGCGGCATGTGAGAATATTTCCTCGAGACGCGTGACTACGCCCGTATGATAACGCCCAGTTACACTGACGATTGTAACGTGCGTGTGTTACGTGTACGCTCCGACTGGAGGAGAACGCGTGTAATTTAACGTGAACTGGATGCGAGGGTATACCGTAATTGCGGTGATCTAACGTAGGCCGTGTTGCGAGATGACCGCGGGAGCCTGCGTCTGGGTGGTCGAGGGACCTGACAATAAGTCGAATCCCACTTGGTAGCCACCGCGAGCGAGTCACGGCTCTGAAAAGACTCTGTGAATCGCGCCCGTAAAACGAGCATTTTAATCACTGCTGGGCGTTTACGCGCGAACAACGATGATCTATGTCTACGTGTCGACCGTGTAGATTACCATTTCACGCGTTATCCGCTCGACGGATAGCCGTGCTTTCTCCTCCTTAATCCTGTTGAGCGGAATGCTTGTTTAAGTTTCAACATTTCCGAGAAGTTTACCTTAATGGGAGGAAAATAATTATTACGAGTTGCGTGATTACTTCCTCGACGTCGCGCGAACGCTTTGCCGTGTGTCAGAATCTAGCAGGAACGGCCGCGACGGGAAATAACACTGGTTTCGTGACGTGAGACAGATCATGCCGTAGGAATTGAGAAAGGGGGATCTCCTGTTGAAATCACTTTTGCAAGTCCTGCGTGGGGATGATGACGTCAACAGTCACGTCGCTTTCCGCTCGCATCCCACCAGCTAAGGGCTAAGCGAAAGCGAGACGTGTTAAAAGAAAAAGAATGAAGCCTTGGAGCTGTCTGGCGCGTGGGTGTTACAGGATGATGCATGAAACGAACGGCGAGGCCCTTTATGTCCGCAGGTTCTTAAGGTGTGTTTACGCGACTCTTGTTTCTCGTGTGGATATCCTTGAGCCTCTAGAACTCTTACGTGATGAACATACAGGCATCAAAATTCGTAGCCGTTACGTTTTTCTCCACGTAACTCTTTCTCTCTTCCCCCTCCCTCTCTCCCTCTCCCCCTGTCTCTCCCTGTCTCTCCTTGTCTCTCCCTGCTTCTCCCTGTCTTTCTCTGTCTCTCCCTGTCTCTTGCTCTGGAACAGTCGCGGACTCCCGTGCTGTAGTAGTTTCACGAGTGATCGAATCGAGCTCGAAATTATTCCTTATTCTCAGCGGTTCGGTCGACGGTGAAATTAGGAGGAGGAAGGCGAGGATCATTTAGAACCTAAGAATTTCGCCCAAGTGGGTCGACAGTAAATCATTGCGAACGCCTTTGAATACTTCCCGGAATATTCTCCGCTTGGTTTCTCGATCTCGTGATATCGAGCACAGCGGGGAAGCTATTTTTTAGGTCATCGTTACAAGGGAGACTTGTCTCCGGGATCGTTACGTCATTCGGCGTCGCGACATCGCTCTGTGCGCATATTTAGACAGTCGTCATTCTAGTCACGCCCTGCTTCATCGTGTATTATCACGCCAAATGCATATGAAACAAGGAACCGGCCCGCTTGCATTATGCAGGATGTCCCGCAGTATTCAACCACCGAATTCAGGAATGGCAGAATTTTATCTCGTCGAATATCGCCGGGCGTGCTCGTCCCCGCGGGAATTTCCACCGCTATAAAAGGCACTCTCCTTTGTCGTGCCTTCCTTCGTGGAACGAGAGACAGTCGGCAAATACTTATTTCCTGTCCTATTTATAGTATCCGTCTATGAATGGCATGAAGTCACGGTTAAAATGGCGCTAAGCTGCTCGTGTTTTACGGATTTTGTAAATAAGCGCGACACCATTACCGCCGAAACGCATTTCGCTATTTCTGATACATATATTATACGCTTTTTGACACATCTAATGCCCGGAACACGAACGATGGCGCAACAGCTCAAAATAATTCCCAGAGTGTTTGCGAGCACAGTTGACCGTCTATATATACATGTATACGTACAGCGTCCGTATGTATGTATCAAAACGCTAAGTTATTTAGATTTTTACGACCTGCCCGTATGCAACAGCTCAATGGGATTTCTTTGAAGTCGTTAAGAATGCCCCAAAAATATAGCATAGTTTTGACGGCGTAATCCCTAATTGCCGGCTTAAGTTCGGCACTCGTGTTTCACTTCAGCCCTCTTTTAATCCCAGGACTTCTGATCTTCGCAGTCGCGAGTCTTTTCCCCTCATCCCTTTTGTACGCGCCGCTGAGATCCTACCAAATATTTTTCTTTACCGCGCAATAAAACTTGAGAGAAAGTTTACGAAAGAGCTTTTATTATAGACAGCGATACAACGTTAAGGAACTCTTGCGCTACCTGCAACTTATACCCGGTAGTCGAGAAAATTGTAATTAACAAGTTTGGTATAACGGAAAACTGGGTTACGCGTTAAGAGGACTGATCGACTTAATTAAATGGCTGCCGATTCGAGCACACGCCCATTTCATAAATCCACGGTCAAACCTTTCGCGTGTAAGCCGGAATTTTTTTTTCCCCCGACGTAAAACCGCAGCGATTGTCGTGGGCGTAGCCGGTTGATCAAACGCGTTTAAATTGACCGCGAACTTTTACCATGGCCTTATCGTCAACTTTATCGCGAGCACATTGTCAGGTAACAATGGTACTTCATTACTTTGGCACAATAAGTAGGAACTGCAGCCTATTAACGCCGCCTCTTTTACGTCCCGCGTTAATTACTTTCGGTACGAGATACGCAAAAATTTTCCCAACAGCAACGAGATTTGCCTTTCGTTCCGGATTCCCTTGGATGATCTTTAACCAACTTGCCATTTATCATGGGTTATTTAATATCTGCCGCAGGTGGAGTCGGTGGATCTGGCGCTGAAAATCTTGGACGGCTCGCAAATCCGGGGGAAAACACTGTCGGTCCAGAGGGCGAAGTTCCAAATGAAGGGCGCGTACGATCCCGCGTTGAAGCCGAAGCGGAAAAAAAAGGATAAGGACCGGCAGAAGAAGATGCACGAAAAGTGAGTTTCCGCAAATTTCACGGATAAACCGCCTCGAACGCGCGTCGAAACGGTTAACACTCGGGTGTGCGTAATCCGTGCCGAGACAAATATTTATTCCTGAAAACCCGCTCGCCCCGTGGCTCATTGACTTAAAGCGTGATGTCACTTCCTCCCGATGGCCCCCCGTGCGACTCGCGCGCGACGATTCGCATTGCAAAATCGAGATGATCACGGTCTCTCCTCGGTTACTCCGGTCCATTCATTTCTCGGTTCGCTCGCGTCCATGCGAGACGGCGTATCCCCGGGGGATCAAGATACGTTTCATCCACGGCGCATCCGCCGCCACGCGTGTGCATCTTATTAAGGTTTCTACGCGCCACGTATGCACGCGTGTGTCGCAAGCAGCTTGTTTAAGACGAGCGCGAGAGGAGATGTGCCCTCGCGAATCACGAAGCGCGTTGTACGCGCGATTTTATACGCGATACCGTATAATTTAGAAAAACCCTCGGCGTATCTCCGCGATGCATGCCTGGTGTAACACGTGTTGCAGTGTGTGTAAAAGGCTCTTTATAATTGCACTGCCATCGGCCCCTGGGTCCGCGGCCGCCAGACTGCTTGGCGTTGGCGGTTCCGGCAAAGGCAGCTGTGCACGTCGATTACCCGCATTTAGTCCGCCGCTCCGCATACAGACCCACCCAAAATTATACGGGCACGGCGCGCACTTCCAGGCAGATTGCAACGGGCTTAACTCGTTAATCGAAGCGTGTTATTGCGCCCCGAACGACATTGACTTTGTCCCGCGCAACCTTTGTTTCATCGTGTGGTAACTGCGTTTCGCGCGAATGACGAAAGCGATATCGAGCATTTCTCGCGTGATCCAGGAAGAAGCGTGCTCAATCGAAAACGCATTCGCGAGACGAGACTATGCACGGATTTGACGGAACATGCACTTATAATCGAGTTAAAGTATAGAGGAAAGACCTCTATTATGAGCTAGGCTCCTAATGTAATGTAGCTGAGTTTCTACTAAATTAATAGGCATCGTCTGGTTCCACCATGAATTTATTGCCCCCTGGGGTGAAGTCTGTTTAGTGGAAAATTAATTGTTGGATCGTGCAATCGTTGCGAAAGAAGATTTGTCATTGAATTTGGACGTTGAAAACCTACTATCTCACATTACAATCCTATCTCATAACAGAGGACTTTCCTCTAATAATTAAATCAAATAGGGAAACGGGAACGCCAAATCAATTCTTAGATCCGGGCGAGATGAAGGTAGCCCAATAATTTTAAATTTAATATGTGAATTGCGCGCCGTTACTTCTGACGTATTGCACAAGTTCTCGTTAGGTAGAATTGTTGTTGTCAGCAAATTCGCGTGTTATAAATCGATTTCTAATTATTTTTTAATGCTACACTGAGCATTCAGTACAATAATTCTCCCTTTCCCCGCACTGAAATGGAAATCTTATTACGAAAAATATTACTTTAGTCGGATTATGGCCCGGCTTTTTCATTTTCTGGTTAACTGTTAACCGGAGGTTAATCGATTATCTGTCTCTTCTTAGATAATAATATAGAAAAAGATAGAGGGTTGACGAGTTAACATTTAATCAGCAAATGAAAAACCTATGATGATTAAATTTAAATGCAATCGTACTCTCTAAAAATCTATCAGTGCATTATCACTGAAAACACACCCACAGAAAAGATTTCCGGATCCAATGCTATTACATTTCAATGCATCATGCAATAGGATCGATATAGCGCCAATCATATTTATTATAGAGACGGGAATATTTTAATCTTAAACGAAAAATTCTAAAATCTGGAATAAAATGAAAGTATGTATTGTCTTTTGTCGCATATCGTGGTGCCAAGATGGAGGAAAAATTTATTCTAAAGAATATAACTTACATTCATATAAGTTACTCTTGTCTCGATATAGTAAGTCAATATTTTTTAATTCGATAAAAGAGAATAAGAATTATTGATTTTACTTCGATATTGTCTCATTTTTATACTAAATGAGGTTGTGAGAAATATAAATGCGTCAAGAATACTTTTTGTCTCGGTAACAGAAGTCCTTTCTGCACCCGCAGAAAAAAATTTCCGGATCCAATGCTATGACACTTGAATGTATCGTAAAATAGGATCGATATATAGCGCCAATCATATTTATTATAGAGAAAGGAATATTTTAATCTTAAATGAAAACTTCTAAAATCCAGAATAAAATGATAGTATGTATCGTCTGTTGTCGAATATCGTGTTGCGAACTTCGTGCGTTGCAAGATGGAGGAAAAATTGATTCTAAACGCAAGAATATATAAACTTACATTTATATAAGTCAGAGCCTGAGCAGAATGGCCATCTTATACCTTTAAGACAGCCTTAAGACAATGTTTTATGTTTTAAACCTTTGTCTTGAAGTAACGCACAATAACTGTCTTAAGAGTACAAGACAGCCATTCTGCTCAGGCCCTTACTTGTCTCAATACAGTAAGTCAATCTTTTTTAATTCGATCGTCTTATTTTTATACTAAATGAGGTTGCGAGAAATATAAATGCGTCAAGAATATGTTTTGCCTGTAACAGAAATCCTTTCTGAGGGCGCAGTTCTAAGTATAGCACTGAATAATTCAATGCTATAACTGTGAATCCGTGAATATTCATCGTTTTCAGTGATAATCCACTGATTGACTTTTAGAGAGTAACGACAGGACGGCGATCCAAATAAAATCGACGATATTTATATCTCGCGTGATTGATCCCCAACATCGGCTTTTAACGTTTCTCGCGTCATCATATTTCATTGTACCTATTGCTCAATCGCGACGCGTCTCTGTCTTCATCATTAGCGGCATCCTCTCGTTATTATCCGGCGTAGGTCGCGTGCGCAGGGTCAACGTCCTGAACTTTGCGAAAACCAGTTATTGGTGAACGCACGGGCCCACGTTTGCCGGCCGGAAGTAGTCTTTGCAGCAACATGCTCTTTCGACACCCGTCGCGAATCCACGCCGATGCCACGCTCGGCATTATTTTCCCGAGCGACTCCGAGAAGGAGAATCGTGAGCCACGATCTATCGATCATTGCGACTGTTCTCACAGCTTTGACGAGTCGTTCCCGATCATGCGACTCGATCGGCACCGACAATTTGTGCTGTATCAGCGACGTTTGTCGGCATCTTTAATCTTTGAGAAACGTCATTTCCAATAACGACAGCGGCGTGCTGACGTGATATCGCGCGAGGAATCGGGAGATGCAGAATCCTATTGGTTCGCTATTATCTTTGTCAACAAGACCGATAGCTATAGTTGACGATGAATCAATAGAATTTGGAATATTGATTCGCCAGTGATCAATTAACAATTAGGTTGAATAATCCGACACTACAGGAAATTTTCCTTTATTGTAACACAACGTTTCGGCCATGGGTTTCGGCCCTTTTCAAGTGTACTCTACAGCACAAACTCACTTCTGTCCAGTGGGCATTTGAATACATGCCATACGCCGACTAGATCCTGCAGAATACGCTTGAAAAGGGCCGAAACATTGTGTTACAATAAAAGAAATTTTCCTGTAGCCAGTTGTGTCGGATTATTCAACCTAATTGTTTATAAATCAATAGTTGCGAATCATCTCGTTATCAATCAGAGTTTATATATGCGATTGAATCCTCGGGGTGGAAGTGTTCACGACTTAAACGCTATTCTCGTTGTCGTATCTCCTCATCATTCCCGTGTTCGTTACTTGCTTGTTTACAGATTGTTCGACTGGCGACCGGAGCGCATGCGGGGCGAACCGCAGAAATGCGAGAGGGTCGTCATCATAAAGAACCTTTTCACACCGGAGGATTTCGACAGGGAAGTCCAGCTGCTCTTGGAATACCAGCAGGATATTCGCTCCGAGTGCCTAAAGTGTGGCGATGTCAGGAAAGTTGTTATCTATGACGTGAGTTTTTTTTTCTATCATCTCCACCTTATTCCTTTGCATGCGCTATTTTACAAGCGCCATTAGATCTTACGTCGCGACTATTAGTCAAACGTTCCTTGATGGAAAATTTCACGCGTAAAACCGGGAAGTCGCGCATTGCGAATTTATAATTGCAAATGGACTCGTGCTCGAAATCCTCTATGCCGCAATCGCTGCTCCTCTTTCGAATCGAAAGCGATCGACTCTCTTTTCCAAGAGTCGTATTTTTAGTGGCTGAATTTCACGGAACAAGCGAGTGTGGAAACGCCTTCGAAAGGGGATGCCCCTAACCCCCATAAATTGGCGAGAGGCGAGACACTCCCAGTCTTTGAGCCTCAGCCGTGAAACTATTCAATGTCAAGCGCATTCCATCCGAACGACGTGTGTTTCCTTTTGCCGATTTCGATGTCTCTTTTTATTTAGACGCTTATGGCTATTATTGTTGCGCTATGCGTACGCTGTATGTCATAATTTCTTAGTAGTAGATATTTTCTTTAGCAATCTTTGCCCGTAGTCACTCGGCAGTTTTATCTTAAAATCCTCGACGTTTATTTTTATTTTGAATTCCTCACGGATGAGAGAAAGGACTGTAAGTTTAGACATTGCGTTGAAATGTTTCCGAAATCGAATTATTGGTATCGGAGATAAAACAATTAATTTGATATGTGTTTCAGATTTTGTTTTATCGAATAAAGTATTCAATTTTTATTTTACATATCGAAATATGAAAAATCGGCGCGAATGCAATATATCAAAGAAATATATGATTGCGGTTTTTTTGTAATTCAATTTTGTAAAGCAAGAGTCCGCGTGAAACGCAATGTAATTTAATTCCACTACATCTCTCTCTCTCTCTCTCTCTCTCTCTCTCTCTCTCTCTCTCTCTCTCTCTCTCTCTTCTCTTGGACGTAAAGCGAGAAATAGCATCGGCTCCGAAAGCCACGCGTGGAATTTCGTGTTCTGCCACCTAATTTACCATAGGCATCTCGTTGTCATTTTTTCTCGCCCTTGGAGCACGTGTTACCGCCAATGTGTTTTCGGTGAATCATCAGCCCTTCGCTGTCATGCTTGTCGTAAAGTATGGTTTGTTAGAGTGGTAGATCAAAGGTTGTTCGCTGATAGTTTTATGGAACTTTGAAATGCCAATGATTCTCCCGTAAACCGGAGAAAATGGAGTACATAGCTCGAATGTTGTTGAAAATTTTTTGAAATTCCACTGAATGTCTAAACATACCATAAATTATTTTGCTTATATAGAAATTTCGCTTTATTGAACGTAATATTCAACTGTGCACATTTAACTGCGAAGAGTAGTTAGTTACAGAAGAGAGAAATTTACACAAAGTCCGAAAGTAGAAATGGTCACGAATTAGTTGGATTATAAAGCTACCAATTATTCAGCAAGATGGAATTAAAGCAGTAAGTTTTAATCGAAGTGATAAATTTTAATTACGCTTTTTCAATGAAATTATTTTGCATATTGTATTTTACTTTCAACCCTAATGTGTACACTGATTTGTTGCCGAAACGCGATTCAATTATAGGGTCGAAAGCCTGTATTGGATTCGCACGCTTTACGGATCACTCTGTATTTCCTTTTCTCAGAGACATCCCGAAGGAGTAGCGCAAGTGACATTCCGAGAGCCGGCAGAGGCGCAAGCTTGCATTCAGCTTCTGAACGGCCGTTGGTTCAGTCAGAGAAAGATCTCGGCAGAGATCTGGGACGGCAAGACCAAGTACAAGTAAGTTATTTCATTGGCGATTCCTACTATACCGGCTTCAGGGCCAACACTACCGGTAGTTGCTGATGCAGGTATCAGGGACCCGAACGTTCCCGTATCACCTTATGTATGTCGTATGCATATGCATAAGATTGTATTAAAAACTATAATTTCCCACGTTGCTATAATATATCGATAATCTCGAAAAATATTTCGCTTGGCATCTGTTCTGGCTATCTATTCGCTGGCAAATCAAAATTGAGTGGTATTCCAACTATTTATCCGTTGCTGGTAAAATCTACTTGTTCGTTTAGTAAAGAATATTGTACTATAATTGCAAATATTACTTGCAATTCGCGTAAAATTGATTCGCACTGCTTAAACTGAAGGCAGCTGTCAAAGTATCGAGATGTGCTCTTCAGAATTACAGAGACTGACGCGGAGATTGAAGCGCGATTGGAAAGATGGGATAACTACTTGGAGCAAAGGGACGAGGAAAAGGGAAAGAAGGAGAAAGAGGCGAAGGGCAGCAACGAGGAACAAAAGGCGTCGCAATGAGAATGCAACCTGCGATCGATAGAATTGTAATTATATTTTGAAGAGTCTATTTTCTTCATTTCTCCCAAAGTCCTCACCATATTGCATTTGAATGTTGAGCTCGTACCTTTTCTTTTGGGCGTTTTAATGAGAATCCGGATGATTAATCGATCCTGTCACAACGTGGTTGAGATTATAAGTGGCTCGCTATTTTCATGGTTGAACCGGCGCTACTGTTGTAGTAGTGATATATTGTTAGTTGTTGCAACAATAAAGCTGTCTCTCCGAGTTGTCTTCTCCCATTCCGTCCACTCTCTGATATTATCGCCACATCGATCTACAGGTATATTTATTGCCTTATTAATCTGTGATCTTCAACTGGTATAACAAAGTAATTATATACGAGATCATGCATGCATAGCAAGGCATAAAAAAGAAAGAGTGTGTCAAAAATAATTGAAAAATGTTTTGAAAACTTATATTGAAGTAAAATTTAAATTATGACAGCGTTAAAAGCTTTCACATCGATACAACGGTTGTTGTAATCTCTTAATATTCGACCCTGGAAAAATTATATGACGAAGGAAAGGTAAGAGTATGAAAAATAAACCGTGGGAACGAGAAAGAGAAGGAGAAATGAATTCCCTTGGAATTTCCTAATTTGCTATTTCGACGTTCCTGGCAATCCTCTTTCGTGGGACTCCACCGGCGAAAGGCCGTCGCTGTCCATCTATCAAAAAACGCGGTTCGCAACATCCTTGGATCGCGGTGTTTTTCTTTGGCGATTCGCCCGGACGAATCTCTCGTCGAAGTAATCGCCTGATTCACAATATAAACGCTACTTACCGAGGATACTTTGAGCCAGGTCGACCTGGAGTTAATGATCTTCTTCGCGAAGTTGTTTTCTTGAGATTTAAAACTCGCGCCAGTTTTTCTTCGAGGACTGTTTACGGGATATCTACTATAAAATTATTCCGAAACAAATTTTGCAAGAGAAAATTTCCGTGTAATTCGTTATCTTTACATCTTAATGTTCTCGAATGTTTGGTTCTTGTGAAATTCTGCGACATTTATTTTTAAAACGGGATAACAAAATTCTCTCCACATTCCTAAATTCTTGAACGTTGTCCAGAAAATCCTAATAGTTTTCCATTATCGTCAAGTAGCTAGATAACCGTCAATTTTTTCGGTCGACGCGCACGTGGTGAAAAGAACAACATCGCGAAGCGCGGGGGTTTATTCGCGCAGTGTCTTTACATCTCGCTTCCCATTGTCCGCGGCGTTTATTCGAACCGTACCCCTCGCGACGTCACGAGGGGATGAAAGCACGAGCGGCGGCATATTTCAGTTGTCCCGCTCCATTCATGATCCGGAAAGGGCAAGGGCAAGAGCGACTCCCTCCGGCAATATCACTGACAAATTTAATGCCCAGCTATTAGATAGCAGGGGGTGCACCTCGCCCGCTTCCCCCCCCCCCCCCGTATCTGTCTATTGTTGCAGTGGCCACGTGCAGAATGACTGCACGTTCCTGGTGCTCAGGCGAAAATGTTTAATCGTCATGTTTGAAGACCCTTTGCGAAAAAAAACCCGACACTCTTGTCACGCTTGTCGAGACTTATTGGATTTTCGCCCGTCGTTCGGACCTGCTAAGTAACACGCGAAATTCGATATCGTCTGGTAACATTGGACGCGATTTGCTACGGTCAAGTGTTTGCCGGGTACTACCCTTCAGCCGCAATAATTACTGATTTACTTCGCAAACAGTAGGAATTAGGAGAAATAACAGAATTTAAGAGGGATGATCGAAATTTATTTCGTGGAACTCGATCTTGCTTGTTTCTTCGATAAGAAATTACTTTTACACTTTTCGGGAGACGAATATGGTAGACATACAAATGTAGAAAAAAGATATTCTGGTAAAAGTTTTTATTTAAATAAACGACATCAAATATATATTTACATATATATATAGTACATATTTCATAAAATAATCTCAAAATGCACTAATCTTTAAATAATATACAGAATAATACATGTGTAGTATAAATAAATATAAATTTACAGTTTGAAGAGGATTAACTTACACGGCAGTTCTTCATAAGTTTCTGTATACATACAGGCCGTTTAAGTATTAGTCTCAAAATTTTTTTATTCTTCGGTGGACTCTACTTTATCAGCATCTTCGGTATCTCTTCTGAATCGAAAACCGCCATTAATGCCAAAAGACGGAGAGACACCGCGACCACCTTGACCCGGCTGAAGCTGACCATGACCTCTGATGAAACCATTATTGCCGAAGTTCCTCTCAGCCTGGATGCCGACGTGCGGCTGCACTGGTTGTCCAGGTACTTTACCCAATCCCCCGTAGACATTCGCGTTTGTGTGACCGTTGTTCAAGATGTTACGATGGGCATTCAGATCCCAGGTAGGCTGGCGCATTGGGCCGCTCAGAGGTTGCGATCCTTGAAAAGTTAGTGAGCCTCCTTGGGCTTCGGCCTCTCTCCTGAATCGGAAGCCACCAGTTATACCAACCGATGGAGACAGTCCATGTCCTCCTGGGCCTCGTTGGAATTGCGTTTGACCTCTGATAAATCCATTATTGCCGAAGTTCCTCTCAGCCTGGATGCCGAAGTGCGGTTGGGCTGATTGTCCAGGTACTTTACTCACTCCCCCGTAGATGTCCGCGGTCGTGCGACCATTGTTCAAAATGTTACGATTTACGTTGAGATCCCAGGTAGGTTGGCGCATTGGGCCGCTCAGAGGTTGCGATCCTTGAAAAGTTAGTGAGCCTCCTTGGGCTTCGGCCTCTCTCCTGAATCGGAAACCACCAGTTATACCAACTGATGGAGACAGTCCATGTCCTCCTGGGCCTGGTTGGAACTGTGTGTGACCTCTGATAAAACCATTATTGCCGAAGTTTCTCTCAGCCTGGATGCCGAAGTGCGGCTGCACTGGTTGCCCAGGTACTTTACCCACTCCCCCATAGATGCCCGCGGTCGTGTGACCATTGTTCAAGATGTTACGATTAACGTTGAGATCCCAGGTAGGTTGGCGCATTGGGCCGCTCAGAGGTTGCGATCCTTGAAAAGTTAGTGAGCCTCCTTGGGCTTCGGCCTCTCTCCTGAATCGGAAACCACCAGTTATACCAACCGATGGAGACAGTCCATGTCCTCCTGGGCCTCGTTGGAACTGGGTCTGACCTCTGATAAAACCATTATTGCCGAAATTCCTCTCAGCCTGGATGCCGAAGTGCGGTTGGGCCGATTGTCCAGGTACTTTACTCACTCCCCCGTAGACGTCCGCGGTCGTGCGACCATTGTTCAAGATGTTACGATTAACGTTGAGATCCCAGGTTGGTTGGCGCATTGGGCCGCTCAGAGGTTGCGATCCTTGGAAACTTAACGAAGTTCCTTGGGGTTCGGCTTCTCTCCTGAATCGGAAGACACCATTAACACCAAAGGAAGGTGAGACACCGCCTCCTCGGCCCTGCTGAAGCTGACCGTGACCTCTGAGAAAACTGTCTCTGCCATAGTTCCTCTCAGCCTGGAAGCCAATGTGCGGTTGCGCTGGTTGCCCAGGTACTTTACCCACTCCCCCGTAAACGTTTGCCTTTGTCTCGGCATTGTTCACGATATTACGATGAGCATTGAGACTCCAGCTAGGCTGGTGAACTGGATCGCTCAGGGGTTGTTTTACTTCGAGACTTAACGAAGTTTGAGGTTCGGCCGCTCTTCTGAATCGGAAGCCACCTTGTATACCAACTGAGGGAGAGAGCCCATGACCTCGCGGACCTTGTTGAAATTCGGTTTGACCTCTGATGAAACCGTTCTTGCCAAAGTTCCTCTCGGCCTGGATGCCGAAGTGCGGCTGCGCTCGTTGTCCAGGTGCCTTATCCACTCCTCCATAAACGTCCGCCTTTGTACGGCCGTTGTTAAAGACATTAGCATTGGCATTGAGATTCCAAGTTGGTTGACGCTGCGGTCCACTTAGAGGCTGCGTCCCTTGAAATGTTACCGAACCTCTCTTTTGTGGGTTGGCTTCGCGACGAAAACGCGGTTCCTAAGAAAAAAATCAATCAATCCTTGAAAATATAATTCACTTGTACCTACACGTGTATAAAGTCTGGTATTTATTTATCTGGATAAGTAATGCAAAAGTATATTGAGGCGAAAATCATTCCAGAGTATTCACAAAGATACTTTTTAAAGCAAGAAATTCCGTCTCGTGACAATTTCCAAGTGCGACAAGTGTGTCTTTGTGAGTCACGCAAAATGCAAGGTAATTACAGTGCAGCGTGCTGTAATGAATGCATTGTCACGTATCATCAATTTGTCACGCTAAGCGAGGCAATATTTAATGCTTAGGGAAAAACTCAAGGGGAATTTATTCATCTGCAGTCATTTTGAAAACTTACTTTTTGAATACGATATTGTCTTTAAATATTTGGATAACTCAATATATCCAAATATAAATTAAGAGAAAACTTACAACAGTCACTTTTCAACCATAAACTCGTGTTTAAAGCGAATTTGTCGGTTTTGGTTTACTTGAACAATAAATTTCTTATATGTATAAATAATAAGAATTACTTACATTTGGTGGAATAACCGGACCGGTTGATTGAGGCGGCGATGACGAGTCAGCGCTCGTGTAGAGAACAGCGCACGATAAGGCCAACACAAAAACTAACAGCTTCATGATGACTATTTCTTTGTGAAAGAAATGTTTTCGCTTGAAGTGTGAAACAACTTCTGATGCCTGTTCGCCTTCCGTCGGTTGCTTATATACGAATTTCAGATTCCCGGGGATGTACTAAATTTTTCCCCAATAGTCCCGTTCACTTATCGCTCCGGGTAATACCCGACAGCAGATCAAGTGAATGCGCCTGTGAGATGAGCTCACGCGACATTCTCTCGCGTCGGGGAACCCTCGCGCAGCAAATAACGCTTTCACTACTCAGACGTATTTTCCTAAACGTTTTAGGCTGCAGTAGTTGCACACAAATCTCACCTGCGTTTCCAATATTGACTATAACCCGGGAAACAAACATGAATATCTAATCGTATCTGAGTATATCCAATTCAGATATAAGTAGATATAAATTGTGTCCCTAGCCAATTATATACGTAAATGTGAGTTAGATATCGTTTTACAACACACAAATATGTACAAATTTTTTTAAGACTTATACTTTATCAATATTTGTCAAAATATTTCAGAGATATTTTTATAATCTTAGATTGATTTGATCATATACATTTTTTGTTAAAATCTTTTAAATATTTCGAACATATTTGTGTGTTATTAAACGATATCTGACTCATATTTACGTTGTATATGATTGGCTAGGGACAACATTCATATCTGCTTATATATTGTAACATATCTAATCATATCTAAGTATATCCAACTTAGATATGATTAGATATGTTACAACATATACATTTTTTCTCGGATAATGACTAATATTGACTTGAGACCCTGTAATCAGAGCCAACCAGAAGTTAGTCGCGACTCTGCATCTATTTCTATGTTATTATCTGAGAAGAGACAGAGAGTCTCGACTAACCTATGGTTAAAAATTAACCAGAAAATGTAAAACCGGGCCTTAAAGTTAGCCATAAACAAAGGCGTCGCGAGATGCCGTGCGTCTGCCTACATTGGCAGTCTCTGTGTTTCAAAGTTCACTGCCAGCTCGAAAATCTACTGTGTACGTGTACCATAGATCTTCAGCGCTGGTAATGAATTTTGGAACACAGCCATTATATGGGATTTTTGATCCTCGAACTCACGTGAAATTGTTTGCATATAAAATGGACCATATTCCGTGTAGTGTGAGTGATTGTCCAAACGCTAGTCGCGAAATTCAATGCAATTTACGTGATCGCAAGTCTCTGAGGTTTTACGTAAAAATAAAACATTTAACTGTTAACTTTTTAATTTTTTATTATTAACTTAACTTTTAATTCAATTAATTGTATTATGGATTAATTTGTATCTTAACTAAGTTAAATTTTCAAGGCTGTTAACTTTAACTTAACTCAGTTAAAAGAAAAAGATAACTTATCCAACCCTGATTAAACTATGTAAATATGTGCTTATTTGCATATTGTCGTAACAGTGAGATAACGATGAGAAAAGTAAGTTGAGCGATAAGGACGTAATCAAAGCGGGGAGGTCACAAGTGTCACGGAAACCGGGAATCCCTCGTTTTGTCTCGCGAAGGCATTGAACGCAACAGCTGGTTTCGCGATGCAAAAATTGCACTTGCAAAAGTAAGGAGACGGTGATGTCCCGCGGCTGTGACGTAGACTTAAAGAATTTATTTAAGCACTCTGCCTTCTTTCGTTCGATGTAGTCTGCGCTCATTGTCAGTGCGAGTCACTTATCGTTGCTCTCTTCTCTTTCTTCTTCAATTAACAGTCAAGATGAAGCTACTTGTTCTCGTTCTGGCCTTATCTTGCGTTGTCGCGTACACAACCGCCCAGAAAAAAGGACAATACTGGCCCGCCAACACCAAAATATTCGTAATTATTTTTTTAATGAAATAATCTAATTCATACTTTTGTCCCCGTTCTTTTCTCGTTTGTAATTTCTTGCTAAACGATTGTGTTATGCATATTTTACATTATTCATAATTATATAATACATTCTTACTAATTAACACACACTGAATCGTTCTACATAAATTCTATCGTTGTTTAAAGTTTATAGGAAGAACTTGTTTATTATATTTAATAATATTTGGTAACAAGTGTTAGGTACATATTTATAATCTTATTCCTTTTACCTGTACCTTTATAAACATTTTGTTGCAAATATTATTTAGACGACACCACGTCGGTTTCGTCGCGAGGCCGATCCTCAGAACTCGATCGCAAACTCAAAGAATACTCCGCAATTGCCCTCCGACGACAACGCAATTCTTCGACTTGCTCGTTTCGGCAATGAACCCACGGTCGTCGATTTCGGCGAAGATGACAACGGGATTTCCGGATCTCAGCCGCGACCCAATGGCCAATCGAACGATATGCACCGGATAGACGAAAACGATTACTTGAGCGCCTATACTTTCCATCCGGGCGCGTACGGTGGATTCGCCAAGAATTTCGGAACCGGCGGCGGGTTTCGCTGGAGAAGGGAAGCGGACGTGGAGCGGCGCTTCCGTTTCAGAAGCTGAAACGCAACGTAGGAATCTTTCGGTCAATGGTTCCGTGGACTTCAGCGAGGTGAAAACGATCGTGGAATAGAATCCCCGGTAGGCACGACCGTTAGTATTCGTCTCAGGCGGGAAGCCGATCAAATTGAAGAGACCGAGAACGAAATGTCTGAGACAAACCAGATAAATTAAGAAATAAGATTTGGCATCCTCGTGATATTCGAGCTTTATAAGATATTAAATTGAAAATGTCTTCGGAAATTTGGCATTTTCTTGGAAGTATTTATGTATGAATATAAAACATACGTTCGGAGGAATAAGACTAATTGTAAGAGCCGTGACAGGGTGTTAGCGTCTATAATTTTGTTATAAATTTATTGCGAAAACTTTAGCCTGTGCCAGGGTAATATTCTTATCACATGCGAGCCTTATAAATTCTATAAAGAATACGATTATGAAATGTGATCGAAGGGACTGAGTAGAATGTAAATACTTCTAATATATCTTGGGTGATATTGTTTGTTCTAGCAAGCGTGTGTAAAACAATTATGAAACAGCGATAAGAAGTGATGAACAATATCCGAAATAGTATTCCGTTGTGTGCACGATTTTACGTATTATTTTGCGCTATAATCGTATTCGTTTTTCAATCTTCTTCAACATTATTTTTAGCGTAACAATCTTTTTAACATTAGGAATCGGTGAAATATACTTCTGGATTTCCTCAATTATTCTGTACAAAGTTTTAAAGTCTTGTTTGCCTTGACAATCGTGTCAAATGTATGCAAGATCCAAGCTGGAGTCGATCGGTCGGCGTCGTGTAAAGATGCGATTTCTACGACACCAACATTTCAGTAGGAATTCTGTCTTGAAGACGCCATCTTCTTCTCCCTCTTTCTTCTCTCTTTTCCTCCCCCCCTCTCTCCATCTCTCTCTCTCTCTCTTCCCTTTTCGCCACGGCAAATTAAGCTTCCCAAAACACCGCGAAACTGTTAATTAAGACTCATTATGTGCGCTGCGGGGGATGGTTGCCCGGGATAGAAGGAAGGCCGTAGCGGAGGATGAAGACCACGAAGAAGCCGGCGGGAGGAAGGGGGAGGGCAGGGAGAGCGGAGGAGGTTTAGGCGGGGGTGGTTTAACCCGAGTACGAACTTCTTAATACCACAGCTGCAGTCGGGTTCATTGTGGGATCAATACGGGGAGAGCTCGTGGTAGTGGCAGGCCAAGTGCGATTGGCCCTGACGATCGGGCACGGCGATTGGCCGATGTCGGCACTGCCAGGAGGCGGATCCTACCGCCGCGGTCTCAACGTGCTGGGGTGATGGTAAAGGGGAAAGAGAATAGCAGCGTCAACCGCTCCGCTCGAAAACGACGGCGACGGGGGACGGGCTCTAGAAAAAGACAGCGTGAGGTACTATGGAGAGAGGGTGACACACGGTGTCGCGTACGGGGGGTTTCAGTCTGTGTTCACCCATGAGAGACACACCACCATCGGCGACACGCTCCGCTCACGTTGCGAGGGTGAGGGCTCGCTTTTCGTTCGCCAACTGGTCAAACTCTCGTTCCTCAAGAGGATCGCCCGCCTTCCGCGTTGAATCCGAACGCGTCGCGATTAGACAACCGTGATCCTGTCACTGAAGAGGACGTCATCGAGAGTAAATAGAATTTTTTTGACAAAAAGATAGTAATTCGGATGAAACATCGTGAGGCGAGTAGCGCCGTGCCCTTGTGAATTTGACCCTGCGTCTGACACACGAGATGAAGTGACAAGGACGGTGACAGTAGTTGCTAGTTAAGTGAAGTGTCAACCAAGTGTTTTAAAGGAGAGAAGTTGAATAGCTTCGTCGAGACGGTAAGCTTCATCAACGAACAAGCAGATTGTGAACAATTGGAATTTGTTAAATTATGAGTCACGAAGGCGAATTGTGCGCGTCATAGCAAGTGGTCGACACAGTATCGAAATCGGTGACAATTGATTCAAACTGAAAAGTTTTGACGGAAGATATTTAAGAGAAAAATGTTACGAAGGCTAATTGCTGCGGGGAAAATCGAAGAAGAATATCTTGGAAAGTAAGACAGTAGAAATAGAAAAAGAGAGAAAGTGTCAAGGATTACTATTAAATACTATTCATGTGTCTTGTCTATTTTTGTGGAATCTTGAGTTGAAGATATGTTCGACAATTTGACAAATCTAGCTGACGATAACTATCCGAGTCCTATTGCATTCAATCGCCGCGCTAATCGAGGGAAAAAGAAGCGCGATCAATTTGTGCAATCTTTTCCATTGTCTCAGCTATCTCGAAGAATTATCGAAGTAGTTTCGTGATTTGCTGTGGTTCAGTGATTTCCGAGGAAAAACGCAAATGAAACTATCCATTCTTTGTTAAACTGTTTATTGCTTACTATGTATTTTGCTGCATTTCAGTAAAATGGTCATTATCGTATCCAAACGGGAGTATCTGAACACCGAAAGATTAAACATTTTTTATTGATAATATATTTAGGCAACATAAGACGCTGCGCTTGGATGAACGAGCAATTTTGCGCAATTATAATTATCGAAACGTGCATTGCCAACTTCGAAGATAACACTGGGGATAACTTTCATAGAATAACACTGTATTGTTGGGTAAATCGCGAATAAACGGCGCGCGACGCAAATTTTGATAGAGGATAAGACTGTCAACAAAGCCATTCAAAATTCTTGAAAAACAGTATATTGTTAACTACATCGTTAATCTGATATATCAAAATAATTTAGAATATTCAAATTGATCGTACTAAGCTATCGAAGAAACGCCGGAGTAAAGACATATCCGAAGAAAGCTGTTCGTCAATAGTGCACTGAACTACCTCGCTGTCGCTATACGCTGCAGCATGGGCCGTTATCCTTGGTGATGATCTAACTTTACGTGACCTTGGGTGATCTCAAACGTTTGATCCTACCGCGGAGCCATCGGCGGAGTTGGAGGACCAGTTCAGGAGTGGTGTTGTTCGAAAGGGTGGTGCGACGTTCGGGTACGCAAGTCTGCAGGCCAGCTCTGGGGTGCCGGGCCCGGGCGGGGTGATGAGCTGCTCCGATGTGATGTATCAATATTATCCTTACCTCTACCAGACCCATCGGCCACCGCCGCCGCATCCGACCCACCCCCATGCGGCCCCGCACAGCCACCCCCACGCTAATCCGCACGCGGCCCACCACAGCCCAGCCAGACCAGCGCCCTTCCAACCCTTTCCGGCGGCCACGGCGACGCATCAGTATGACAGGGTAAGTCGAATTTCTGTTTTGACTTTACGCTGATGGGAGCATTAGTCCCAGTCTACAATAGAGATTTAAGCCCTAAGCCTTAAGAAATTGACTAATCACAGTCGCGCATTCTACTCATCTTGACCGTGATTGGCCAATTTCTTAAAGCTTAGGGCTTAAATCATCTATTGTAGACTGGGACTTAATCTTGTTAGCGGGAACTCTATTGATTTGTAGAATTTCAAGGTAGAAAATTTGAACTCGATAGAAATTTGTAATAAACAGAAACAAGAGTAAGAATAATAAGCGATAAGTGATTTGAAAATTAATTAGAAGTCAGTCTATAAGCATAACGGTAATGTGGATATGTAAATAATCTCTTAAAATGGTGGAATTGGGTTGCTTAAATACGTCAAAAGGTAAATAAAAATTAAATGAATTGATTACATTCGACCGATTGATTAATTAACTTAATGATGCTGCGATACAAAATCTGTCGCTAATAGATAAAGTAACGGATTGTGCGAAAGTGCCAATAAAATGCGTTACAACACCCAACATTTCGAAGGTGGTCCATTCACACATTTTTATAACCCCATTCTCTGGTCGCCTGTCCCCGGTACTTAAATCGTTCGAAGCAATTAAAAACAGACCCGCGTTAGTCATTAAGTTAGGCACGTTTGGTAAAAAAAAAACAACGTTTATAACAAGTGGTATTTTACATCGACTGTCTTCGCTTTTACGGCGAATGAATACCCTTTACTGCCATATAAATTAAGTGAAGAAGGTGATCTCATTGAGCAAATGTACTCGTATTTATTCTTCATTTAGCATATTATCAGGTGAACGATGCAACGATGGAACTTTGAAACGAGTTAGAACGCATGGAAAAAGATAAACGTTGTTTCAGATTTCACATTTGATTTACATGAAAGCTTAAGTTTTATTCAAAATTATTATTTTCTTTTAAATTTCAACTGTAGGATTGAATTCTTGGATCTCCGATTCTTGAGGTTAGTCCTTGACTTTGCATCGTGTTTAAACTTGCCGATTCTAGATTCTCGAATCTTCATACAGCGAATCCTCGAATAACAAGTAGTTCTCTCAAATCACTCGATCCTCGATTTCTCGGTCCATCACGAATGTCGCCTCCTCTCTGCTCTGCTCTGCTCTGCTTCTCTCTCCCCGCGTCTCTCTCGAATCTCTCTCTCTCTCTCTCTCTCGTAGCCTTTTCTAGAACTTGAAATACACCGAAACAATATTTCGCCCAGCTTCGCGTATCCTGAAATAGTTTCGAGACGGCAAGAAGGAAGAAATTTTCGCGAGTAACGCGTGGAATCGCCTGTGCATCATTTTAATTTGTCTGCCGGGAGGTCAGGCGTGCTCCTGCCCTCAGCAAGCACCCATCCGTGCACTGTGGGGTGTCGAGCGCCGTTTTGCCATCTTTCCCGGGTCGGTGGGAAAGTAATGTTCCTTTTTTCTCCAGCACCAACCTCGCTTAGGTAATATTAAACCGCTTGTAACTAGTGATGCGCACCGGGAATATTCTTGAGAGCACATTCTCGGAAAACGAAGACATTCTGAGAATGAGAATACTGTGAGAGAATTCCGAAAACGACAATATCTTTTAGACGTTAACTAAAAATCAATATAATTTTGCAAACATATTTGTGAAAGAATAAGAACAGTAAGTTTTTGAGAAAATTCCCCACAGAAATGTTGCGATTCGTGAAATTTGAATCGCAAGAATTAGAAGGTTAAAGAAGGCAAAAAAGGAAATTTAGAACACGCTACTGCGATTAAATGTTCAAAATTTTTACAACTTTATTGTGTCATTTAAACACGGAGTACTTTAAAAACTGAGTACGGAATGATTGAAAAGTAAATTCGTGAATAATCAGGTAGTTACACTCTGGTATCTCATTTAATCTCACTATGCAAATGAGAGCCACTAAAATTTATCGACTGGAACACGAGAAGAGGAAAGAAAAGGAAGAAGTGTCTTCTCGAAAGTAAAAGTTTCCCAGGACCTTGTAAAGTAAACAATTTTCGTGTATCACGGAATTAATATAACGTCTATTCAGAAATATTTTTAAATTTATAAAATTTTTGGATATTACAAGTTCAGGGCTTTTAATTAAAAACCCTGGTGGGGTTCTTTTAATTCTTGCATTCTATACATATGTATATTCACATATTTCAACCAAAGGTTTATTTGAAATTTAATTCTCAGTCAACAAGAATTTATGCAATTAAACAAATCCGGCTCTCCCTCCCTCTCTCTCTCTCTCTCTCTCCCCCTCTCTCGCTCTCTCCCTGTCTCTCTCCAAGATGTATAGCTGTGAAGTATCAGTTGGTCCATTTATCTATCAATCTTCCAGAGACATTGTAGAAATGTGAACGTCTCAACGTTCTCTTTTCTTTTCTCTTTCTCTTCCGTTCTCCGTGGTAGCGATCGCGAGATAACATCCGGCAAAAGCGTTAAGCGCGCGCGATACGAGCAAAGAGGAGCAAAGGAAGGAAAGCCGATCCCGACTGTCGGACAGGTTCTCCGCGAGGGAAGCGGGAAAGGATCCCGCGGATTCCCTGGCTCATATCCTCGGAGCCCGGGTAGTTCACGCGACCGCGGCGACACGAATTTACTTTTATTTAAATCTTTCTCTCTCTCCTTCCTTTTATTTAGGGCCCCGAGGAACCGGGAGGAGCGTCGCTCATTTTGTTCCTTTGCCGGCCTCCGCTCTCTGTCCCCTGGTCTCTGAATTAATAGCCGCGCTAGTGTTTTTCGCAGTGTGTCGACCGCAGCAGCGTCCTGCGCGCCCGTATGCGTGCGTGCGTGCGCGTGTGCACGCGCGTACGAAAGCGCGTACCGACGTGACGCGCGTTAAAAATGCGCGTCGTTTTCTCACGAGACGCTCCGAAACCGCCGTGCTTTATCGTTCCCGCTCGCCCGGCCGAGTAAGAGAGAACGAGCGTTCGTGGCACGAACCCCACTCGCGAAGAATGATGCACGAGGCATCGCAAAAAGTGCACGATTCCTTCGAACCGCAGACGTTAAAAGCCGGACTGAGAAAAATTTCCGGGATTCAGATATCGTGGTAGCAAGTAGCTTTAGATTTATCGTTGATCGAGAGTGAAAAAGATTCAGGGATTAGTATTTGGTTTCTCTCTTTTGTCGAATAATTTGACTCTTTGAAAAGCAAACGAAATCTTTTGTCGAAAATTAGTATGGAATCCGCTTTTGATTGACGTCGACCGGCGTCATTTTGCGTAATATGAATGCGTTTGAAAAAAAAAAAAGATTAGGCGATAGAAGTCCAGAGGCTGGAGCGCGTACGCGATTCATCGGAAAAACACGTGTGCCAAGGGAGGGACAGGTGCTGTGGTCTCAGGAGAGGCACGTAAGAACCTGGCTATCCTTCATTAGCACTCTTGTTACCCGACCGACGTTTCTTCTGCGCGCAGCGAACGCACATATGCGGTGACTATACCGTCGTAGTCTTGCACCATCACTGCAAGTTATGTCACGCGAGTTTGCACTCGGAGTCGATTAACGAAAATAGGGCTGACAAATGCGAGAATTCAATACAACACGGCAAGTTTATTTACAAAAGTCTTGGGTAACAACTTTATCTACGCTGCCTTCTGTTATATCGCGAAATTCGCAGTATAGAAAATTTCGTATTCAAAGATCTGGTCTCGGAGGTTCCGGAGCCGAAGGAATTTGGTATCCGAGGCACTCGGTCCCCAAGGAGAGACGAGGATTCAAGATATCCGGGATTCAAGGCATAGATTACGAGCGATTCGAATTCAAAGCCGCTAGAATCTAGGGCATTTAGACCCAGAGTACCCCGAACTCGTGTAATTCGTAGTCGCATTCGTAGACTTCCGGCCGTCGGCCGGTGCGAGGCCGGGACAACGTCGTTAAGTGTCGCGTTAATCGAATCCTGTACGTATAATTAGCCAGGTTGCCTTTCTCGAGATCTCCTCGGCGACGTTAATAAGCCATCGGGCGCCTCCTTGACGAAACTGGCAGAGAGGCACCGTGACCGGCAGCGATTGAGAAAGAGAAAAATAGAGCGGGCGCGAGAGCAGGGAAGGAGCGAAGGCGAGATAGAGTGAGGAAGGGAGAGTCGTAAAAGCGCATTTTTCTCGGGTATCTGGCCGATTAATGAACCGATGTCGTCGCCAGGACCACCCCGAAGGATACGCGTACGGGACGCGCATCCCTCGCGAGATAGACCGACAGCAGTCCACGACTATAATACCTAGCCTATAACCAGCTCCTGTCCGTCCTCCTAGCAGCAGGTCTCAAACGGACCGCACCTTTACCTGACCAAGTTTTACGATCGTCGCGCCGAGGTGGCGATGTGTCCTCGTGTTATCGTCCCGGCGGGATCTGTCCTGGGCTAAAGCAGGCTCCTGCCATGACTTCTTTTATTATATTTCTCTTTCCTCCCGCCTCCCCTCCCTCTTTTCCTCACGTGTTCCTCTGCGCTGGCACTGTGCCTCTCCTCGCTATTAACGAACGAAGGACACGACTACTTTGTGATCTGCAATCAGCGCGTTCGTCAATTTGACTTGGCATTCTGGAGGGAAAATATTACGACAATAATGTAGTATCGGTTTCTTATTTTTACCTACTTTTCACTTGTACGAACATTAGAATTGCATTGCAATTAAGTAAAATCAATTTCGCCAATTGTACCACGCGGATCGAACGTCTAGTCTTTATAACGCGATATTTCGAGTCTTCCTATACGGCTTTTCCTCAATTCTTCCCAGGCTGTGTCATATTTCTATGCGTGTCATTCCAATAAGGTGATTCACCTGACACAACTTCTTCCATAAATCAATTAATTGCCGAGGTCAGCACATCGAAACGCTCCATCTATTTTCAGCGGACTGTCGGTACGTCGTCAATCTTTCGTAGCGTTGATACCGTGCCGCGTTTCAAGCTCTGGCATTCCCGTCGCATCGTATTAGGAGAGATCGACTACCACCGTCCGGTAATTTGTTGTTCT